CGTATCTTCTTTGCAAAATGTTTATACTTATTTGTTTGGCTACTCTTAAAACTGAAGTTTGAGAACTTTAAAAATATTCCCATAGCCGGGCGTTGGTGGCACACACCTTTAATCCCAGCACTCAGGAGGCAGAGGCAGTCAGATCTCTGTGAGTTCGAGGCCAGCCTGATCTACAGAGCAAGTTCCAGGACAGCCTCAAAAACAATACGGAGCAACCCAGTCTCGAAAAAACAAAAAAAGAATAAATTCCCAATAAAAATCTTTGGATATATGGCTAGAAAATACCTTCTGTCAAGCTGTAGCTTCTTTTCATCCTTCATAGGGTTTTTTATAACTTTCGGTCTTCCATTTTCCATATTAAATGTAAGAATTGTTTGTCTGTCTCTCAGACTTGATGCTTTTCCCTTTTCCTCTTACAAGGTTTATGATTTTACAAGTTTATGTAGATCATGTACATTTTAAATTAATTAAATGAAAAATAATCCCCTCGGAGGGCCTAGGTCCTTCCCCAAATGATGTGACAGACTTTGATGATCCCTCATGGAAGGCCTCACCCTCCCTGGGTGGTCGGTTGGGATCATGGGTGGATGGGAGGGAGAGGGAACTGTTTCTAATTTAAGTGAAAAATTATGAAATTAAAAAAGAAAAAGAACCCCATCCCTCCCTTCTTCTTCTGTCGTGACTTTGAGGACTAATGCTCCAATGTGACTTCTTGAAAAGTTTCCTCTGAATTTCTTTAGTCAAATTTCTTTGCCAAGTCAGCTGGATGTATTCCTGTGAACCTATTTCCCGTTTCTCTATCCCATTCCATTGATTTATGTGTTCGCCCACCTATCCATAATATATACTCATGATTCACAAACTGTTTTGATAAGCCATATTGGGTAATTGTAAATAGGACTAATCTAGAGTAAATAACATTGTTTTAAAAATCAAATTCCCATTATTCATTGCTGCTAAGTAAGACATAAATGATTTTTGTTACCTGTTAACTCTATAATTACTCTAATTTGCACTGCGTACTGACTGCATGTATCTCTTCAGTGTAATAATATTAAGACTCAGTGTAATAATATTAAGAGGCTGAGCTGTCATGAGTGACATTAGTGCTCCCCAAATGGTCTGGTCCTTTTATTCAAAGGCATCATCCTGGAAGCATTGAGGATTCACCAGAGACAAAAATCAGTCCTTAGACCTTGGACTTCCTAGCCTCCACAGCTATAAGTAACAAGATTTCTACTATTTGAACATAATGCACACCAGGACAGGACAGGTCCTCTTTGGAGGACCTAGGTTCAATGCTCAGAATCCACAAGGTTGCTCACAACTGCAGCTCCAATCCCAGGGCATCTGATCACTCCCTACTGGCTTCATGGTTCCAGGCACACACTTGGTGCATAGACAAACATACAGGCAAAACACCCATACACATTAACAACAAAGACAGGTTTAATGTACTTTGTCATTCCTTCAAGAATGAACTAAATCATTTATTAATCAGTCCAAGGGACTTTTTGTGACTGTTGTCCACTATTTAGGACTTTTCAAAAAGCTACATAAACAACCATGTATTCCGCAAAGATCCTTTTTAATCCATGTGTTTTTTTTTCTTGTATTACACCAGCTAGGACTTCTAGTATGACATTAAATTGGTATGGTGGAAGTAAACATCACTGCCTTGTGTTTGATCTCAACAGGGAGGCATTTAGGTTCCCCGCCATTAATTATCACAATAGATGTAGAGTTTTTTAAGCTCTTTATCAACCTCAGAAATTAGCCTCTATTTCTACTTTGCTGAGAGTGCTTGTGAATTATTGTTTAATTTTGCCAAATGCTCTTCTATATCCAGTGACATGGTCACACGGTCTTATTTCAGTTGCATCTCTTCACTGCTGCCCACTCCACTCCCCTCACCCTTATCCAGCACTTCTCCCAAGACTGGCATCGCCCATGGGGTCATGACCGAAGTCTCCCTTTCTTGGCTGTCTGAGACCCTGTCTGTCATGCTTTCCTGGGGCTGAAGTACATGCAACTGTCAATGAGCTATCAAATACAGTCAAAAGAGTAATAGGGAAAGCTCAGAAACATCACTTGAGTGATAATCACATTCCTTCTCCCTCACTGACCCCAAATCTACCAGGTGTCACCTTCCTGGTGGGGTTTGGAAGATTCGATATTCTCCCTCTACCACCTCTGGATACTGATCCTGGTATGCCTCTGGTATTCATATCTCCCGATTATCCATGGGTTTGATCTCTTTCCATCTGAAATGCATGTGTGCCAAGGCTGCTACTGTGTTCTGTTAGTGAAATTAGAATGATAAAGAGGAAAAATGACTTCAGCAAGGCAGCTAGCTCCCATATTTTTGTTTTTTGTAAAATCAATAACATTAAGGCCATGCAGACTAAACTCTTAAACTATTTAAATTTAAATGTCAGAGCCTTTTACATACTTCCTTTGTTACTGAATATCTGTTGAGTCATCTCCCAGAGAGTATGCCGAGTGAAGAAAGCCCCCTTGTGTCCAGCTGTCAGTTTTGCCTGTGGCTTCCTGTATGGAAGGAATGTAATTCCGGATTTCGTCCGACAGGGGGAGATGTTGTGCTAGGAAATGGCCTCTTAGCGGGCTTGCAGACTTGTCTCACCACAGCGGGCCTTACCTACTCCCTTTACAGATTCAGATTTTATTAGCCTACACATAGGCCAGAGGACAATCTACACGTCCAAATGGAGCAGAGATCAAACAAGAGGCTCCCTTTTGCACTGAGTGCTGAAGCACCCATCACGCCCCCCATCTGAATCCCCCCAAATGATCCTGGTTTTTGGATTCCCTTTCTTCTCCTTTCCCACCGAAAATATCCCCTAAGTTCCATCTTATTGCTTCCCTACCACTACCAGAATCACAATGAAAATCAGAGGTGTATCCCATACACTCCTGCTCGGCGACCCAAAGAACTCAGATGCTAGTCAGGGTTAGAGGGGGGAAAGGAACAACAGAGGGGAGGCAGAAAGATGAAACTTGATTGTCAGCACGTTTCCACACCGGCATCCGTTTCTCTCCAGGTAACTATCAATGCTACAGAAGACCCTGCTGCCCAGGTGTCATGCACGTCTCATGCTAACCCCGTTGTTTCTGTCGGGCTGAGCTGACTTTGACCACATCAATACTTTCTTCCTCCTCTTTGGAGAGAAAAGTATACCGTGGCTTCCTTGGATGAATCAAAACAATGATGTTGAGCCCCTCTCTGAATTCCTCCCAACATGGGCATACATACAATCGTGTGGCCTCCAGAACCCCTTTGAGATAGAAAGCTCTCAGAACTATGTCTCACTTCCCCTCCCCCACCCACCCAAAAACAGCCGAAGATGAGGTGGGAGGAAGAACGGGTTCTGGGTTAGAAAAAGAGGTCACCTACGTGTTCTCATCTACAGTTTGGATAACTGGCTTGGTTTTAACGGAATGGATTTCTGGTGTTTGGGTTCACCCTAAGCTATGTAGCACATACATTTGTTTGTTTGTTTGCTTGTTTTTGTTTGTTTTCTGCTGACACGATTTATTTCTTCACTAGAAATTCATGCATTCAGTAGCCATACTGTATCCCTTTACTGTGGAGTTACGGGGGGCTTACTCTCCCAGTCACAGCCCATCTCTGCTCCTCCGCAGAGTAAAAGTTGAGTGCCAGTGAAGAAGCATGTGGGTCACTGGCTTCGCCCTCCCTCCTGTCGTCAGACTTATTAACAGGGACTAAGATCCCCTTCCTTCCCCTGCTGCATTTGTTTCTTGGTTGGCAGACTTTTCGTCCAGATCCCAGAGAATCCTCTCAGGTTCTGGAATGTACAGTGCTGAGTATGTAATGGAAAGGACCCTGGTTTATAGATTACGAGTTCATGGGCTGGGGAGTTGGTTCCAGGGTTGAGAATTTCTTCCAGAGGACCTTGGAGTTTTGAGTCCCAGCACCGCCCCTCCCCCACCCAGGGGCATCTCACAGCCCTCCAATTATAACTCCCAATTCCAGAGGATCTGCTGAGCTCTTACCTGGCTTCCTCAGGCACCAGGCGTGTACCTAGTACGCAGGTATACACGAAGACAAAACACCCATACACTTAAAGCAAATAAATCTAAAAGAAATTTCATAGATGGAAAGCTGAGAAGTTAGACCATGGCCTTGTTTCCTCTCAGATGGGAATGAGTGTAGCAGGCAACTCACTCAATCCTATGTGCAAATAAGAACTTGATCTGAGACGTTTCCCAATTAATTTTAGGCAGCATATATGGAATCCTGTAGGAAGCACTGCTTAGAGTAAACATTGAAGAAACCAGGATTGTCAATCACTCGGGCCTATTTTCTTCAACAAAATCATTGATGCCTGGTCACCTGGAATGCTGGAGTGAAAGTGGTCAGACAACCTGATGGTCCTTTACTATGCCATTAGAAGCCTTCAGCTGAGAACTGCTTAGGCCCTAATTGTGGGTTTTGTCTCTCAGTGACTAGACCGCACCTTATGAAAGAGGCACCACTACTTTGCATCCTCATCAGTAGAATTCTTCTTTGAGCTTATAAAACATTCTTCGTTTACAGGCCTTAGCCCTGGGCACTGTTTCCCAGTCAATGTAACCCATTCTTATGATAAAGGTCTCAGATGCTATAAAATAATCTATAAATGGGGTGTTTCGCAAGGGAATTTCTGTATAACCATCTCTGAAGCTTTCTTATGAGAACTGTCACATGAAAATTTCCCCTCCCCCCAGAAAAATTCTACTGTGTTTAAATGTATAAGAAAAGAAAATCAAATCATGGGGTCAGATTCTCTTGAAGTTTTGATCCCATTTGACTGACTAAGTACAACTGTACCCAGTTTTCATTCTAACATCCTGGAGGTTCAACCCTGTCAGTGGTGATACCCACAATGACCCCACCTGCCACACCCAGTGGAACCTGAAAATAATGAGGAACTTTTGGCTGGTAAGAGTTAAGAAGTGCATAGCCAAACACAAACAGCTGTGGAAACAACCTTTATTACTTTATAACATTGAGAATGTGTGTTTAGAACAAACCAATGGAAATACCATACAAATAACCTTTACTCCTGTTGCATCTAAAATTTCATAACTCACTATAGATATAACTTTTTAAATTTTGCCTTTGGGAAAGATATACAGAGCAGGGGAAACACAATAGAACTAGGGGATATCTTAAAAATAAGAGGACCTGTGAAAAGATCGATGCAATGCTGGTGAATCCGATCTCTTATAAATCTTCCCACACTATCTCACCCATTTCCGTCACAGGATCTAAGACCTCTGGCTGTCTTCAGAACATAAGTTCTCCTTGATTTTGACAGTTGTAAGATTGCTTCCCTGACCATGACTTCTTTTCTCTTCAAGGGACTAAGGCTTGAGTGTCTCACTGCTGAGAAATGTTCTAGGCTGTGTAGTGACCTCCTGGCCCATTCCATGGTAAATCCCATGAAGTAGAACCGTCTCTTCCAGTGTTTGCTCTCCATAACTCACATTCAGGAGTGCCCAGATACCCACATTGTATGGCGGAGACCAGTTTCCTTGCCTGCTCAATGACTTCCACACCATTCGTTGCAGGTTCATTCCAGATTCAACTCTTAAGCCAGAAAGCCAGATCAGAAGAAAGGCAAGTATTTCAGGGACCTTTGGGGGCTGAAAAACCTGTGCCCCCATGACCTGGCTTAGTTCTGGTCATCAGAGAAGGAAGATACAGGTAGAAGCAAATGAATCAGTGCCTTTGACATCAGTTCAAATTACCAGGAGAACCATAGGCTTCTTTTCCCTCACTCTCTGGGCCAACAACTCCAGTTTCTATGCTCTGAACTTTTTGACATTTTTACGTCTCTTAACACTAAGTCCCCTGAGACCCGATTTGTGTTTAATCTTCTTTTTCATGTTACTTTACTTAAATGGTTCAACTCAGATTTTTTTGTGTTGTTCATGAACTTTGAAAAAAATCCTAGAACACAGGAAGCAATCTAAAACATCCCTTTTTTGGTGAAATCAATCATTTTGCAAGTTCATAAAACAGTATTGTCTGTAGAATAACAACACCATAGGCAATTCCCTTAAAGTTGGAAAATAGATTAAGTCCTCTTAGGACTATTGGCTGAACATTTCTTCATCCTGACATCCAAAGATTTTATTATGCCAATATTTATTTTGCTTAATATCAGCAATAATGGATTCCATAATAGAACCAAACTCAATAATATTGGAAGCTCCATTTTGATACTCACAAGTGAAGCCAGCACAGTGCATGGCCACCAGTGAACCATTAGAATCAAGCACTGGGGATCCAGATGACCCATTAAAAAAAGTGGTGTCATAGGTAACCACATGAGGGTTGTGAAACATTTCCTGGAAGCTTCTTTGAGTGAACATGTGCAGAAAGGGCTTAGAAAAATGGTAGCCTATTGCTTCTCTTGCCTGAACATTTTCCTCACATTTTCTTCTTCGGTTATCTCGAGGAACCACTGTACAAGCATCAATAGACTTCTTTCCTCCATCTGGATGGCCAATGATATAAATCAACCCATTAAGTGGTTCAGGGCCTCTTCCATTATACAGTCCAGCAGGTACTTCTTGTCCGTTTTCCTCCAGTTCCAGGACAGCATAGTCCAAGTCTTTATTAGATATCTCAAACCAAGGTTTAACATTAAAAACACTGTCTTCTCTTGGTGGGAACTCTTCATAATCAAAGATCACCTTTACACATTGACTAATTATGCTTGCCCACTCACTTAGCTCTGTGCCTTCCCCCACGACATCAGTTATCACATGCCGACAAGTGAAAATGTACAATCCTCTAAAAACAAAGCAGGTGGCACAACCTTCGTTTCCATTATTGTTCCACCACAGGAACCCTACTGAGTCACTGACCTGTGAAAGACACTTGTACATTTTAACAGAAGTGGAATTTTTTGTCAGTTTTCCAAAGTTTTCTTTGTGTATTTTGAATAAGGAAACGTGCTTCTTTCTTTTTTCACTTGCTTCCTTGATGAATGCTCTAAGCGTTGCTCGTTGTTCTTTCAGTGTGGGGTACTCATTCACAATGCGCTCGTCTACCTCACGAAAGTTGCTGTTCTGTAGCTCAGAATTCGGAATGACAGACACTAGCCTCGAGTTCCTTGTTTGCTCAGCCTCAACCTGAAAGAGCTTGCCATCTAATTCATCCACTGGCTGGGTGTTTTCTATGATGGTGTCCAGGTCATTAATGAGTTTCCAATGGTCACCCTCTGTGAAAATAAACCTGCCATCCTTCCTCAGAGTGTCCTTGATGGTCTCTCCTTTTAAGCCATAGACACAGAGTTTGTTCCCATTTTTATGAAGTTCTCCACACTTCACGATCTTTCTCTTCTTACTCCCAATTGCATGAATGTAAAATCGGACGTAACTGGTAGATGCTTGGTCCTGTGGCTCAAACGATCTTTCTTCCAGCTCACTTTTACTTTTAGAAAATGTAATGACCACGTGGCTGCCTTCTGGCAAACAGCAGAGGGGCATGCCAAGGTTGATGTACCCTTCGATTCCTTCTTTGCCACGCACCAGCATTTCTTTACCCTGATGAGTTTCTATCTCTTCTTTCACAGCACTGAGAGTGCTGAGTGCTTCATATAAGCTACTTGTCCCGTTATGTGTGAGCTCATGCTTCATATTTTTGTTCTTCCTTGGGTTCACATCCAAAGTGACTATAATTTTCCTATTTGGTGGAGGACTCTGATCTTGTCGAGCTTTTTTAGATGAAAGTGATCTTTGGTCCTGGGTGTTGGTTATATCTCTTGGCATTTTTCTCGAGGCCACTTTTACTTGAGAAATACTGGAATCTTCCTGATCTTCTTTGGGCACCTAAAAATAAATGGTGGATACTTTGTAACTGACAACTCTGGTCATATTTCCTTTTTTAGTACCAACTCACATAATTCCTGTGGGAAATTCAGTACCAACCTCAAAAGATCAATAAATAGAGTTCATCTTGGGATCCAAAATACTACCTCAACTTCCCATCACATCATCCAGAAAAGCTCCTCTCATTACATATGGTGCATTTTTCTAACAAATAGTAGGACAGACACAAGTGTTATCCAGATACTCAGAGGTCTACAAGCTTCCCTATATGATATTTCAAGTTATTTTTATTATTTTCAGCAATAGACATTTTATCTTATGCAAACATAAGGTGTATTGCAATAACAGTTTATTAAGCTATTTATCACTAATTTGTTTTTTAAGATTTATTTTAAATATATGAATGTTTTGCCTATGTGTATGCGTGTGCTCCTGTATAAGCCCGATACCCATAGGTGTCAGAAGAAGGCATCAGACCCCTTGAACTGGAGTTACCAGTGTTTGTGTACCACCATGTGGGTGCTGGGAATCAAATCCAGTTCTTGTACAACAGCAACAGATGCTCAATAATTAGTGGGTTTTTGAGATGGAGTCTTGCTATATACTTAAGACTTCCCTGGAATTCAGTGTGTAGCCCAGGTTTCCTTCAAACTCATAATTTTAATATTTTCTTACTACCATGATTCAGGCAGCATCTATCAAGAAATGAATAGAAGCTGTTCCCTTTGTCTTTGTATTAGATTGTACGTTTCTTGTCAATTTTCATCATCTCCCATTCTTATAGGACTTTAGTTAATAACCAGGAGAGGGGAAACTGAGAGGACATAAATCAAATTCCGTAAATAGGAAAGTCTCAATGAAAACTGAAAGTGTCTATGGCAGTTATTGTTAACTGTGTGCTTGACAGAATCTCAAATCACCTAGGAGATGGGTCTCTGGACAGATCTGTGCGGTGTTGTCTTGGTTACATGAATCCCAGTGAGAACCAGCCTAAACCTGCTGGCAACATTTCCCTGGGTAAGATCCCAGACTGTTTGAGACGATAAGGGGGAAGGGAGCATGCATTCACTGCTGTCTACTATTGACTGTGGATAAAACATAACTAACGCTCCCATGGCCCTACTGCTGTGACTTCCCCGCCATGATGGTCTGTCAGAAACTGTGAGCCAAGTAAACCCTTCTTAAATTTAAATATTCCTGGATAAATATGGACTTTTTGTCAGATTTTTTCTTTTCCTTTTTGAGGCATCATATAGTTCACTCTGGTATCAAATTCATAATCTTCTATTCTCTGCGTTTGTAATGCTGGGATTACAGCATCATGCTCTCATGCCTAGCTTGGTGTATTTGAAAGGGAAAGGGATCATAGGTGTTCCTCGAGCTTGTTGTTAAGGGGTAGGACAGAAATAAACAGATCTCAGCTTGTCATGGATTTTCTAGCTATTTGGATGCCTTGTTTTCTAGAATCTGGACACAAAGAAACAAGGAAAAGGTTTTGATTTTGCATGGCAAATGCCTGATGCTTCTCAACTGTCTTGATATAATAAAGTAGCATGTTAGCCTCAGAGGACACAACTGTTTGTCATGACAGAGCCTGAGAGGAGAAGACTCTGGATGTCTCAGCACACTTGCCCAAGTGTCCATCACATGCTCAAGAAACTTCATTCTCTCAAATGTCCATCACATGCTCAAGAAACTTCATTCTCTTTTGTCTCCTTAAACAAACTGGAACCAACCTTCCTTGATTGCCTATGAAGGTTATGGTAAGAATAAATATACAAAATCCTTTGTAAACTGTAAAGTACCAAGCAAATATAGACTGTTATGATTAAAAGGATCAGTCATATCCAGACAGTTTAGTGCTATTAAATATTACTAATTTTGTCTCACATGTTTCAGTGATATATAATATTTGATCACTTAAATAGTATTCATTTTGTTTGTTCTACAGGTGGATACGACATATTCCATTTAATCTATTTTATTAATGTTTCAGATATGATTGCAATACTTTTTTATTCAATGCTGCTTTGATATAGCTAAAAGCTGATTACAATTCCTCATTTTTGCTGCCATCCACCAAAATAAATAAAGTGGGCAAGAAAGATCTTAGAGTATGTCACTGTCCCAATCAACAATGAGGAGCTTCAGGTGAGCTTGGATGGGGGGGGCACACTCCCCATCCCGCACCCAATCAACAATGAGGCATTTTCTTGGCAGTCAATCCTATGTGATTCATGGTAGCTGTCCCACAAGCAATATTTGTAGACATACCGGAGAGAAAAAGTCATTGATTTTTGTGTTTTTCCTCGCATTGAATGGCATCCTCTGTGATCTGCGCTTCTTACAGCTCATGGTGGCTCTGAAATGAAACGCGTGGCTCGGCTGAAACACAAACTTCAAAATGGTTCAAGTTGGGTTGGGAGTTTAGTTCAGTGGCAGCATGCTTGTTCAGCCCTCAGCTCAAAAAAAGATAAGAGAACAAAAGAAAGAGAAAAAGTGGTTTAAGTTATGGCAGTATCTGCATACAGGCTGAAAGATGAACTGGGTCCTATATCGCATCTTTCCCATTCGGCTCTGGCCTTGTTTGTCGCAGGATCGTAACCGTGCAAGCTAACCCGCCAAACATAACCACCCGACAACAAAAGCAGAGCATCACATGTACCAAACACATAACAGAAATCATCTGTATTAGCTAATCCCCATCACTGCCACGAAGGCAGCTTCTATATAGATTTTATTGAGGGAAATTGTATGTTTGACAAGGGAGATGATATATACAAACACACAGCTTAAGGTAAACAGAGAATTCAAATGCAGACACCCAACCCAGCAAAAGGTTTGTAGCTCGGAAACTCAAAACTATGTTCTACCAACACTGTTGTTAAAATCTGCTCTTTGTTTAAAGGAGATGGAGATGATAAGGGCAGGGAAATAGGCAGGAAGAGAACTGAATAGCACCCTGAAAACAAACTGTAAAGAAATATCAAAAAGAAATCCCCATGGGAGACCTCACCCTCTCTGAGGAGTGAATAGGGAGTGGGATGGGGAGATGGTGGGGGGAGTAGGAGGACTGGAGAGAGAGAGAACTGGGATTGCTTTGTAAAATAAGATGGCTTTTAATTTAAATTAAAAAAAAGAAATCTGGAAAGTTTATCCAAAATGACAGGAGCATTAGTTACTGCTTTAGGCCTTATGTTTGAAGTAGCATTTTCCCCTGCTGTCTCTGCATAAGAGAAAGAGCAGTTTAAATACAGCACTGAACCACCAGCCATGCTAAGTATCACTAGAAGGACAAGCACCACAGAGAGCAGCAAGCTCGTCTGTCTTCAGTAAGTCACCATCAACCCTAGCATGTAGAAGACCCTAACACTTCAGTTATAAAGATACAGTCAGAGGGAGTGGACAGGCAGTGACTGGAAAGGCCATCTCCTAAGTGCTTTCCACAAGCTGCCTCTCACAATTCTTCAAAGCTTGCTTAGGTGGGTATTACTATGCTTACTTTATCCATAAAAAGGTGGGGTTCTTGGGCATTGGCAGCACACACCTTTAATCCCAGCACTCAGGAGGCAGAGGCAGGTGGATCTCTGTGAGTTTGAGGCCAGCCTGGTCTACAGAGAGAGTTCCAGGACAGGCTCCAAAGCGACAGGGAAACCCTGTCTCGAAAAACAAAACAAAAATGTTGGGTTCTTTCTAGAGAGGTTAAACTTCCATTCAAAACTGCAGTGAGTATACTTTGGAAAATTTGTAGTATCATTTTCTAACTGAAAATGACAAGAAGAAGGCAGGAAAGAATCATATATGAACTTGAAAATACCCATTATATCGCAAACAACTTTGTTCTTGGAGGTTCTCCAACTTATATATCTTTTCTTTTCTGAGACAAAGTCTCATGAAACTCAGGTTGGCAGTGGACTTTGAACCCTTTGATCTCCTGCCTCCACCTTTCTGCTGCCTGGATTATATGTCATAACGTCTGGCACAGTGATAGAGAGAACCAAACCCAGGGCTTCGAGCACTGCGTGAAGGGTAAACACTCTAGCAACGGGACCACATCTCTAACCCTACAGTGTCTTTTTAAATAGTAGATGACAGATACATGGTAAGATTTTAACAGTAAGTTGTTTCTGTCTCTACAAGTTACACACTTTCTTATATACTTACAATGCCAACTTAGTCACATCAAAATACAGACATCACTTTTCTAAGTTTTGGATTTTGTTGTTGTTACTGCTGCTGCTGCTGCTGCTGTTGTTGCAAGCATTACAGCCCCTGAAAGCCAGGAGCCAAGGAATATCAAAAAGTTACACCACACAACAAACCTCACACAAGAGATTTATTGGGAGTGAAAGAAAACAGTGGCTGCCTCTGCTCTATCGAGAAACAGCAGCAAACTGAAAAGAATACAGGGCTTATACAGAGCTTCTTGGGAAGGGAATGGAAGTTTCCAGAGTGGATATTGGTGGGATTTCACCTCAAGAGATTGGGCTTTTTACTCTGTAGAGTGGGGACAGGGTCCAGCAGTAACTGAAGCACTAAGACAAGAGGGAGCCCTCCAAAGACTTAACCACAATCTTAACCATGATGCCCATGACCTTAAGCCCTCCACTTAAGAAGAATCTAAACCCTAGATTTCTACCAGTAACAACTGCTAATGAGCTATGAAAGAAATCTACTGACCTGCCTGGGTCTAGTCTTCTGTTTGAGAAAAGCAGCAGCAACTGTAAACGAAACAAGGACATTCTATGAAAACATGACAGTGCCAATGACGAGTCTGAGCTCAGCAGCTGCATGACACTGGGCACACTGGCTATTTTCTGCCTCTCCCTCACCCTGAGAGGAATGAAAGAGTCATCCTCGATTGATGTGAAAATCAAAAAGTATGTAATGCACAGTCTTCAGACAATGGCCATATGCGATCGAATGCTCAGTGAACATTACTGCTAGTGTGGCCATCAATACCAATACTTAACCACAGAGAACACTCCTTGGACTGTAGAAAATGAGAGATTAAGAACTTGAGGAAACAGACTAGATTATGATCTCTGCAGGTAGAAATTTATTGTTCAACCAGAAAAACAAGTTGAGGTTCCTGGTCTGTTGATGTCTCATACTGTGATCCATATTTTTAAAAAAAGCGATGAAAAAGGAATATGGATTTTACAGTTCACATACTTAAGCAATTATGAACCATTCCATATCTATACCACACAAATGATTCCAGTGTCCATGCTGGATCATGTTATATTAACATGTGATGTACCTAGAGTTGTCCTGGACCAACCCATATTATGATTTCCAGAGACAATGCCCACTGAACTACCTAGATTTGCTTTCTTTCTTCAGTAAAGCAATAAATCAACACAGCCTGTTCAGGGTCCCTCCTCCAGCCTCCCAGACAGTTCCCGGGAATCCCTCTTTCTCCATCTTCTTCCCTCTCTCTTTTCCTTCCTTTTCCTCTAGTCTTTTTCACCTCCCTCCCCACTCCCCAGTCACTTCCTCTTCCTCTCCCTCTCTCTCCCCCACACTTTTCTCTCTCCAAGTCTCCCTCTTCCCCACTAGCCACATGCACGTTCTGCCCCACTTACTTTTCTCTCAGAAAGGCTTTCTGGAGACAAGGACCACAGCTGATCTATGTCTCTCCCTACACCACGCCCGCCTTTCACTCTAGTGTTCTGGGAGTGGGGGGGTGGGGGCCGCTGAAAACATATTTCTGCTCCCTGGGTCCTTCTACCTCTGGCCCCAAGGGCTTCCCAGCCCGAGAAGCTCCCAGAGGCTCCCGTGTGCCTGAGTTTGGACCCCCAACCCTGCCGAGCGTCACAGTTTCTTCATAGGCCTGCCACCTTCCTTTGCTGATTGATAGCCAGCATCTGCTACACTTGAATTCAGCACCGAACATTAAGTTGGCTCTTCCTAAGGGAAACCCTCTCCATGCTCTGAGGGACACGGGGCCTGACAATGAGCACAGGTGCAATTTGTGTCTTTAAGACCTCTACTCCAATGAATAATAAAGATGGCTTCTATTGTCTAGTCCTTGGCAGAACATTCTGGGTTAGTACATTTATGTTGATGGAAACAGCAGACAAACAAGTCAGTTTAATGTAGCAGCCAACTATTTGTGTGTAGACCGCTTCCACGGTACATGCTAGGCATGCCTGAGAAAAAATCAGTACTTGTTTCTTAGTCTGCGCATTTTTATTCTAAAAAGAAACAGACTTAAGAAATGGATTGGTGAGTATTTGCTATGCACAGTTTGACACGAAGAAGTTAATCTTAAGTGGGGCGTTTTACTCACCGGCTTTTCCTGCCAGGGTACCTTCCCTCCAGTGGCTGTAATCCCGCGTTTTTCTGAAAAACCAGAACCAGACTATCATTTAATGCCTTTGATCACTGGGTGGAGAGATTGCAGATTGGTCCTTTCGCTACGTTGCACATCAGACCATTGGCCGCGCTCAGAGCACGGGACCTGAGCGAGCACTTCCGCCCTGATCTTTAATGGCCACACTGTCAAAGCAGCCAAGCAGTCCTTCGAGTGGGTGTGGACCTCTATTCTCCGGGGATTCCCTCTCAGAACACACTCGACTGAGAGGGGCGAGAAGCCAAGGAGCCAGGAATCGGTGGAAGGTTCCCACCCAGTTTCAGGGAGCTGCGCAAATTCAGGAATTTCCAGCCAGCAAGCCGGGCAAGGCAGGAGAAGCCCAGGCAGCAAGTACTACAGTGCCACCAATGGCTGCAGGCAGCAAGTGGATGAGCAAGGAGGAGGGAGTTGGAGGGCCCTGGACCTTTCTAGGGGACAACATCCCTACAGGGGACCAGCTTCAATGTTTAACAATCAAGAAGAAGCTGCAAATGGTTGGCAAAAACAGATGAGTCTTTTTATCTTAATTTTTAGAAGTGTATTGCATTTGTTTATTATTTATTTGCGTGTGTTATGTGTATGCATGTGTGTGCCACGTATCATAACTTTAAGGAGTTGATGCTTCCCTACCATGTGGGTTTCATGGATTGAATTCAGGTCATCAGGCTTGGCAACAGATGTTGAGCCATCTTGATGGTCTAATAAATCGATTATCTACCGGTAAAAAAGATGATTTCCATTCCAGAAATATACATCCAAATATAATGTTAAGTACTTGCCATGTGTTAGTCTGAATTGAGCTGTGATGTGAGTGTGTGTGTGTGTGCGCGTGCGTGCGTGCGTGCGTGCGTGCGTGTGTGTGTGTGTGTGTGTGTGTGTGTGTGTGTGTGTGTGTGTGTGTTCAACTGACCCTGGGTGTTTTCCTGGGTCATTTTATTTACTAGGGCAAGAACTATCTCAAATTGTAGAAGCTAGATATCTCTGTTAGTTTGGCTAGCCAGCTTGGTCCAGGTATCCCCAGTCTCTGCCTTCAGTTGACAGAGTGACTGGCAGGCCATCATGCCTTTGGGACGTTTTCAGGGGTTCTGGAGTTCTAAACTCTGATCCTCACACCTGAGTGTCAAGTGTTTTACCATTGAGCACAGGCCTTCTCAAGAGCATTTTTTAAATATTTTGGCTTTAAACAAGAGGGCATTCGAGAGAAGACTTGCAAAAAAGCACATACTACTCTTTCAGAGGACCCCAGTTCAATACCCATTACCCATATGGAGGCTTACAACCATCTGTAAATCCAGTTTCAGGGAATCCTATGGTCCTATGGTCCCGGACCGCCAGACCCTCATATAGGAATATATATAGGAAAGTTCAACTGCTGGGACTTCAGAACTGGTGGTGGTTGAGTTTAGAGACCCTATCCCAGCTATAAAGGCTAATCTTGGCTGTCAATTTGACTGTATCTAGGATGCATGCGGTGGGATGGTGAGTGTCGATGACTCAGACCCTCCCCCCCTACCAGTTACTGGTTGGGGGGGGGAGAGACACACTGAGTCGGGAGTCTGTCGAAGCAGGATCTCGATTTATTCCAACAGGCAGGAACTTATATAAGGCTGAGGTAGGGAATGGGAAACATAGGATAGGGTAAGGTGATCTGAGGAGTAAGGGCCAATAGTATTCCACAAGCAGGCAGGTAGCTAGACAAGGGGCAATGTTGTATCAGGTCTGGCTGAGTCACCCTCACATGGAGGTTACAGGTTAGAGACAGGCCTTTGATCTGGATCTTGAGGCTGGAAGACACAGGCTTATTTATTTATTTATTTATCTTTAATCTGGATCATGAGTCTGGAAGGCACACCTTTAATCTGGTCCATACCTACTACTGGAAGCCTATATAAGGACAACATAAGAAGGAAGGGTTTGTTCATTCCTGCCTCCCTGCCCTTGCCTTCGCTAGCATGTCCACTCCTTCACCAGCATTGGAGTCTGCTTCTTTGGGATTCCAGCATATGCAGAAGACCAGCTGAGACACCCAGCCTTGCAGGACTGAGCAACTAATAGATTCTTGAATTTTCCATTCACAGCTAGACATTGTTGGATTAGTTGGACTGCAGCCTGTAAGTCATTTCAACAAATTCTTTTTATACGTATATATTAAGTCATTCTGTAAGTTCTATGGCTGTAGAGAACCTTGACTAATACACCAATCCTCTTGCAAATGCATTTCCCTGCAGCAAAGAAAGAGGAGAGCCCATTGTCAATCCACCAGCGAATAGTAAAAGATCATTCCTCTGTGCTTGAGCAACGCTGAGTAGGATGTCCAGGTTCTTGTGTAACCCATCCCCAGAAGCCCTCTCTCGATGTTTTTTGCACATTTGCTTTTTAGTTCTTGGGATAACAATTTGGGCTCTTGTTCATCATGCTATCCTTCACCTACTAAGTTCAACTCATAAATCACTGTCTCTGTGATACCCTGCCCTAGTAGAGGCAAAGTGCTTTTCTCTGCTTGCCCAGAACACACATGCAACTTTACTTAACTGAAACTGGCCTGCTCCATTGGGGTATGGAAGCCTCTTTCAGGGGCTCATGAAGGAGCCACTACTGAAAAGCATTGGTCTTATCCCTTAAATATCCCATTATTTCATCTATTTCCACCTACCCCAACTATGTGAGGGACCTTGTCAGGTTCTTTTGTTTGCTTGGGGTGTTCTTTGTTTGTTGGTTTGTTTGTTGATTTGACAACAGAAAAATAGCTCAACACTCTTCACTTGGCCAAAACTATAATAGGCATGGCTAGAGCCAATGAGATGTATCATGTCAGAGGAATGCAGAAGCAGGCTACTTTTCAAGGCCAACACTATCCCCAAGCATATCACACAACTATTACAGCCCTGTCTGAGCATCAGCTGAAGGGGAGGTTTCCTTGGTAACCTTGTATTCTCTATCTGTTACTCACTCTTACCGTGTTGCAGAGGGTTTGTTTCAAAGGCGTGAGAGAACAGCTACCAAAAGGCAAACTAAGCTTCGTTCTGCTCCAGTGCTAAAAGTTGTGACCCAGCTAGTCCAGGCTGTCCATGAGACTTAGCTTTACAATTCAAAGGGAAATGAAGGCTGACGCTTAAATGATGACATCAGACTAATTTTCTGAGCAGTGTTCCTTGATGACTAACATGATAACAGAGCAGATGCATCAGATGCTTGCCTCTCAGCAAGCAACCAAACTTCAAGACAGCCAGAAAGCACATGCTCACTGAATGCCAATAGACTGAATAAATGAGAACATCAAGGTGGCAGAACTAGACCACGCCCAAGAAACCAGAACGGGTGGGAGTAGGGGTAGGAAATAGCTCCCTGTGAACATGTGCCTTAATTTTCACCAGCCTGCAACACAATTCTCAGTTAATGACCAACATGCTTGCTGTCGTGGGTCCAAGCTTCTCTCTTTTTTTCCAGCCTTTTTTCAAATTTTTATCTGTTTCCTTTCCTCACATGTCCAATCCTTGTCCCTGCTTGTCCCTGGGCACTCACCATTCACCATTACCCACTGAAAGTGAATCTTTACACATCAGCTTTTATCTTTTAGATGGAGCTGAGTAAAGCATGCACACATGCATACATACATATATATCGTATGTACTACACACACACACACACACACACACACACACACACACACACACACCAGCTCCTTCCTCAGACTTTATGTAACAGCCAATGAAGACTTTATCACTCCAGTTGCTCACATCAGGAATCAACACTGAATTGTCATTTTCTCCACAAAGAAATTCTATAGGCTGCCCCTTTTATTTAAGTGCTAATTCCAACTATGGCTACCACCTTGAGAACCCCAACATCTTTGGAACTCCAAGACAGGTATCTAACTATCTTTTCCACATCTACCACTATCCCAGAGTTTGTAGTCTACATAGCCAACAGAGTGATTTTTAACAATATAAGTCAGTTTATATTATTACTCAGCTCCATAGTCTCCCATTAGAATAGATTTCACACATTTGTCATAAAGTCCAGACTTTGTCTGTGTCCCATGGGATGATTTGCACAGGTATGTGCTAACACTCTTGTGGTATGGTTCTTTCCAGGGAATATTTTATGTACAGAAGAAGTGAAATAATTTCAGAAACATTATCCCCCACCATATTTAGTTTTCATGATTCTTAAATTTCTACCCAATCTACAGTGAAAGATCAGCAAGGCCCCTGCTGAGCTGTGATTCCCCCTCAACTGCTGCCAATTTGGTGCTGCTTATGTGACCAGTTGCTTCAGATTTTAGGAATAACATTCATGTAAGAAAACTATTACAATTCTCCCCATATCTTATTATGTTCTATTATTATTATTTTGACAAGTCTAGTTCTACAGTTACTCTCTCCAAACCCTGCAGAGTGCCCAGAACTTGAGTCAGAATGTAGCTTCACTATGTGTTTTATGCTAAATTTGGAAAAACACACCTGGGGATTCCAAGACCACCATCAACTTTTACATAAATATGTGTTTGTCTATGAGTGATCAAAGTTTGATCTCCATGCCACCTTGACCAGCTACACAAATTCTCCTCTTCTTTGACCAACATCTCAATAGTTAGGATTCTAGGTAAGAGGCATTCACCAGTCTCCCAGTCAATGTTCTAAACATGTGGTCATACAGATAGCTAATGCTCAAAGAAGAGCTGGCCTCACAGATGTCTGGGAAGCAGGGAGAACACTAAGAGAGATATGCATGGTACCCCGGAGAAGGGGAATGGGACAGGATCTCATAAGCAGATTGGGAGCATGAGGGAGGGGAGAGGGAGCTGGGAAAAAGGGAGGGGGAGAAGAGGAGGGGAGAGGAGGTGAGGGGAGGAGAACAAGAAGCTTAAATTGGGGAAAAGTAGAGGAGAACAGGATGAGAAATACATAATAGAGGGAGTCATTATAGGTTTGAGCAGAGATCTGGCACTCACTAATGTGATTTCCAAAGATCTGCAAGGATGACACCAACTGGCAATAGTGGAGAAGCTACCTTAAAAGCCTATCCCTAATAATGAGATTGATGACTACCTTATATGCCATCCTAGAGCCCTCATCCATCCAGTGGCTGATGGAAGCAGAGACAGACACCCACAGCTAAACACTGTGGAACCCAGTTGTAGAGAGGGAGGAGTGATGAGCAAAGGGGCCAAGACCATGCTGGTGAAACCCACAGAAACAGCTGACCTAGACAAGGGGGAGCTAGTGGACCACAGATTGATGGCTGAGAGGCCAGCGTGGGACTTATCCAGACTCCTTAAATTTGGGTGTCATTGAGGAGGCCTTAGCAATCTATGGGGCCTCAGGTAGTAGATTAGTATTTATCCCTGGTGTACAAATGGATTTTGGAAGCCCATTCCACATAGAGGGATACTCTCTCATCCTGGACACATGGGGGAGGGCCTAGGCTCTGCCCAGGATGAAATGACAAACTCTGCAGATCCCCACAGAGGGCCTCACCCTCCTTGGAGAGCAAAGTGGGGATTGGGTGGGGGATTGAGGGACTTGGAGGGGAGCAGGGGAGGAGGGGAGGGAGAGGAAGCTGGGATTGACATGTGAAACAAGCTTGTTTCTAATTTAAATAAAATAAATAAAGAAATAGATACATAAAAAAGAAGAGCTGGCGTCAGGTACAAGATTTTACTAACTTATGTACACCTTAGGCTTATGCATTTCATGTACAACTTTATTCTTCAATCTCTTTCAGGTCCCAGCTCCAGATTATGCTTACAACTATTTAAACAGAAACAGGAGACTGCAAGTCGGCTCACTTGGGAGATTTACACAGTGGAGATATTGCCAGAATCATTTCCCAAATACACCAATGTTGAACTTTTCAAATAGTTGTTACCTAGATTCATCTTGCCCATCTGGTGATCATTTCCCAAATACACCAGTGTTGAACTTTTCAAATAGTTGTTACCTAGATTCATCTTGCCCATCTGGTGATATTACGCTTCATCCTACATGAGCACAGGGGACTTAAAAGACAGACCAAGATTTACAGATGGCTGTGACCACTTGGGCCTTCCCTTAGAGGCTTATCCTTTCATATGGAGATGGACCTAATGACCTGTTGGAAGTCAGGGTTGTCTCCTTTTGTTATGAGAAAGGAGACTAATTGGAGGTCAATCTTAGTGAAAAAACATTAGCAGAAACTTTTCTCAGCAATCCAAAACTTCAACTAAGGTACAGAACGTTCTTACAGTTTCTAACAAGCATGGTTAGTAAACAACTCACCATTCAGTTGTATTGTGAGTAGTCCTCCTTTAGTTAAATTCTACTTTGTATCACTTAATATTTCTAAGCCTGTTTATTAGTGAAACCTATACAGCATCAATTTTACTACTTCAAATTTCTCCTGTATCCATAGGACCTTTGGCTGTAAATTGTGGTCAGCACCTCCTGGTCAGAGGAAAATACCTACTTACCATCTCACCTGGATGAGTGATAGGACACACATGAGGTTAAAATTGTAGTAAGTACTGCCCACATATGCTCACATTGTCCATCATTAGATAAGAGCCCATCTGTCAAACAGGGTAAGGGCCCACCCTATTCCTCTCACCCAGGGTATTGATTCCTCATTCCCCCTAAAATCATGAAAGAATTCAGCAGAGTGCCCTCTGTGTGTCGGAAGGTGGTGCTTCCAGGGGGAGTGATAAAATTCTATTTCAACTAAAACATTTAAAAAATAACCATTTTGGGGGAAATTGAGTAATTATATCATAATCTCAAAACTAAGAGGACTTTTTTTTTAATTTTCAGAAAAACAAACAGAACATAGGGTTCTTGAGCTCCTTGTTTGCCAGACCCTTCTCTAGCCCTGTGGAGTGTATTCATGACTTTTGCTCTCATTATTAATATTATAAATGTATACTTTTGTTACTTCTGCACCTGCATCTTGTTCAATCCTTTGCTTAAGACAAAGAACCTGGACATCCCATCAAAGGACACAGGAAAACAACACTTTGGTACCAAGGATGGCACTCTCTGGAGGTAGTGAAATTGTGCCTTTGAGAGGTTGGACTTTGTGACCTCTTAGGCCTGTGCAGATGTTCCCTCAAGGAGGATTTGGGGACCCTGAGCTATAATGTAAATGATTTTATTCCATTGTGCATGCCTGCAGTGAAGGAGCTGCCCCCCAGCAATCAACAGGGATGCTGGACCATGCACTGGAAACTCAAAAACTATGAGCTAAAATAAGCATTGTGTCTTTGTAAATTAATCATCCCTAATGTTTCCTTAGAATGATAGCAATCCAATGATCATAAGCCCTAGACTACAAAGGCAGTAGCTTCCTGAGTGTTGTGTTTGATTTATCAGTGAATTCTGGACTGTTTTAGACTGACCTTTGGGAAAACAATAGCAGCTTTCTATGAACCTCAGGAATTGTCTCCTCTGATTCTTCTGGGGGATTTTTTTCCTGCTCTGTCACACTCACTGATTAGCAATTGGCTACTATTTCAAGAAGTATCCTCTGAAGACCTCCTAGGCTCTCTCTGCTTCATTGACCTTCCGCCTGCCCGTAGCTTCCCGGTGCAGGCAAGTTGTGGGCTCTGCCTAGTTACTTCCCCAGAGATGTGCCTTGGAAACTGCAGTGAACTAGACAGAAGCATACTGTGCTCGTGTCTTTTCTTTCCCAGGGCCAGAGGTGACTTTCCTGTGCTGCCTGATGTTTAATGTTTGGCAACTGTTGTTCCATGGGTCTTGTATGTCCCTTTTTGAACTTCAATTATTCGAGGTGAAAAGGTAAATCATTTTTATCATCTTCATCTTGTCCATAGACATTAGCTACACTTTATTGATCCTCTAATTCTTTTTGAACTGCAGTTACCTGATTCTTGGTCAAAAGGATAGGATTTGAGTCTATATCTGGTCCTGCAAGGAAACAGGACATTCTAAACCTTCCAAAGAACTGTAAGTTACACTACTGAAGACTTCCTTAAGAGTTAATCAAATTGACCTTCTAATCATCTGGAAAGAAAAAAAAATGTCCCTTAAAAAAGTAACTTCAGATTCATGATATAACCAAAGATGGAAAGAATAACCAGTACTTTAAGGAGATACATGCCTAAAGAACCTTGGAACTCTCCTCTGGGTGCAGTGGCTTGCTATTAAGCCTGCCTGCTTTATTGAGCCCTGACTCGGAAACAATCCCCACTTCCTCTTTTCAGACACAGGGCCACTTCCTGTAAGCTAGCTTGCCCTCACACTGTAGGCACTGTACTCTGTCAGGAGCCACGCCCAAATGCAGCTGCTCACAGACTTGCCTTGCTGATCCAGAACTTTCTGGATCGATCTCTCACTGAGAAACCACAGCTTCCTCTCGTTGTCATCAGTCCTAGCTGGCCTCTGCTCAATGTCCAGTTTGCTTGCTTTGCTTTTCTTTAAAACACCAATAAATAGCTCTACTAAGTCTAGAATTATTTTATCTAGGAGAATAATACCTACTCAAGATGACAAAGCACAGAGCCAGTGGGGGGAGGAGTGAGCAGAAGATGCACACTCACTGGGATTTGAATCCAAATCCACTCCTTCCCTTGATTTTCCCTGGTGGATCCAGAAAGTCCACTTGTCTTCAGAGTAAGTAAGTTGCTAAGGAGAAAAGATCAGCTCAAGGTCTATGCTCCTCGTCAGGCGTCTCTAGTCAAGATTCCTTAAGCTGAAGGAATCAGTATTTATCCCTGGCATACGAATGGACTTTGGGAGCCCATTACACAAGAAGGGATGTGCTCTTGGCCTGGACACACAGGGGAGGGCCTGGGCCCAGCCCTAGATGATATGACAGACTTTGGGGATCCCTCATGGAGTACCTCACCCTTCCTGGGAAGTGAAGGAAAGATGGAATGGGGCTGGTGGGGGCTGGGAAAGAAGGGGAGGGAGCTAGTATTGACATATGAAGCGGGCTTTTTCTAATTTAAATAAAAGATTAAAAAAAGAAAATGTGGTACATTTACACAATAGAGTACTACTACTCAGTGGAAAAAATGAAATCTTGAAATTTGCAGGCAAAGGGATAGAACTAGAAGAAACTATATTGACTCAGAAAATCCAGTCACAGAAAGACAATATGGATATTAGACTTAGAGCAGAGGACTACCAGCCTACAATCCACACTTCCAGAGAAGTTAGGAAACAAGAAGGACCCTAAGACACACATACATGGTCCCCCGGAGAAAGAGAAAGGGACAAGAACTCGTGAGAAAATTAGGAACAAGGGGTGGAAGAGAGGGAGGGAGGGAGAAGAAAGAGAAGGGGAGAAGAGGAGAGGGGAGGAGAACATGAGGAAATGTCAGAAATCCACAAGGAAGACCCCACCTAAGAATCTAAGCAATAGTGGAGAGGCTGTCTTAAATGCCCTTCCCCTATAAAGAGATTGATGACTACCTTAAGTGCCATCCTAGAGCCTTCATCTAGTAGCTGATGGAAGCAGAAGCAGAGACCCACAGCTAAGCACTGAGCAGAACTCCTGGAATCCAGTTGTAGAGAGGGAGGGGGATTGAGCAAAGGGGTCAAGACCATGCTGGGGGAAACCCACAGAAACAGCTGACCTCTTCGGGAGTCTGGGCTGTTAGGTGCACTGCTCTGCCTCCCCGAAGCCCGTCTTAAGGAGGATTTTCTGCATTATTCCACCACAAATAAATCCTCCCAAAATCTAAATCAACCCGGAAACTAAGAGTAACTCACCTAAGCAAAGAGTTCTCTCCAAATCGCGCTGTCACTAGTTTCTGCCTTACTAGGATTCCTCCAAGGCTGTCTGTCTGTCACAGCGGGACTCCGAAGACTTCTGTCACAGTGGCTCGAGAAAAGAGCGCCAAAATATGGAGTCTGGGAGGCCCTGACAGTTCTCATTGGCTGCTCCAAAAGAAGGCAGAGTGGGAGGGCTCTAGCTCTGAAGATTTAAGTCTGTGGCTGGAAAGGGGTGACGCAACCCGCCTGCGATGGTGCACTCCTGAATCTTCCTGTGAGAGGATTAAGTCACAGCCCCTAGAACAGACCTTTCCTCTGCCAGGTTCCTCTTTTTTCGTGAGTATTTGAACATCCCTCGAGGTCGGTAGAGGGCCAGATGCAGATCTGATCATTGAGCTAAGCGGAGGAGCCAGGGTGCAAGGTTTCCTGCCTCAGCTCGACCCAGGCGCCCAAGGTGCCACAGGCAGGAACTTGGCCCAAGGGCGTACTGGAGTCCTGACCAGAGAAAAGATGGGGACCCAAGTCCTGCCAAGGACATTTGCTCAGAGACACCAATCTCTGTTGCCAGGTAGTGAGTGAGTTCCGGGAAGGAGAGAGAACGACAGCCCCTGTAGGTGGCAGCTGAAGGCTTTGAGAGTCAGGAAGAAGCTACAGTTGCCTTCAGAGCAAATTCACTTACCATGAATCTGTTTCCCAAAGGAACCGGAGTACCTGCTGAGGTTTTCAGTCCTGGTGAAGATCATGGTGCCCATTCCAGAACCATAGACTGCAATTGTGCTGTTAAGCATTTGTCATGTGTCACTATCAACTGAGAAATGATATAAATATAAAAGTAGACCACTGGATGAAAGGAACTTGGTATGAAAAACATGGAATATCCAAACACATGTAGTTATTATGCGTTGAAATCATAATATTCAGGAACTGGAAACAACCTATATGTCCCTCACGTGAAGAACTGATGCAGGATACGTGGTATATTTGCATAATGGAGTATCACTCAGCAGTTAAAGGCAACGTCATCATGAAATTCTCTGACAAATGGATAGACGTATAAAAGATCATTGTGAGTGAAGTAACCCAGACCCAGAAGACAAACATGGTATGTATTCACTCATATATGGATTTTAGACATGGCACAGTGGAGTGCCAGCCTACAATCCGATGGCCAGAAAGCCTGGGAAACAGGGAGGACCCTAAGAGAGATATGCATGGTACCCAGGAGAAGGGGAATGGGACAGGATCTCCTGAGTGGATTGTGAGTATGGGAGGAGGGGAGAGGGAGATGGGAGAAAGAAAGGGGGAGGAGGAGAGCAGAGGACATGAGGGAGCAGGAAGTTTGAATTGGGAGAAGAGCAGAAGAGAACAGGATGAGTATTACAATAATAGAGGGAGCTTTTATAAGTTTGAGGAGAGATCTGGCACTAGGGAGATTTCCAGAGATCAACAAGGATGACACCACCTGGCTATATAAACAATAGTGGAGAGGCTACTTAAATGCCCTTCCCCAATTATGAGATTGATGACTACCTTATATGCCATCCTAGAGCCTTCACTCAGTAGCTGATGGAAGCAGATGCAGAAACTCACAGTTAAACACTGAGCTGAACTTCTGGAACCCAGTTGCAGACAGGGAGGAGTGATGGACAAGGCGGTCAAGACCAGGCTGGTGAAACCCACAGAAACAGCTGACCTGAACAAGGGGCAGCTCATGGACCCCAGACTGATAGCTGAGAGGTCAGCATGGGACTGATCCAGCCCCCCCTGAACGTGCATGTCAGTGATGAAACCTCAGCAATCTATGGGGCCTCAGATAGAAGATGAGTATTTATCCCTGGTGTACTTGGGGAACCCAATTCTCATGGAGGGCTGCTCTATCAGCCTGGACACATTGGGGAGGGCCTAGTTCCTGCCTGGGATGAAATGACAGACTTTGGAGATCCCCCATGGAGGGCCTCACCCTCCCTGGGGATGGGAGGGGGGAATGGGGTGGAGGGTTGGGGGGTGGGGGCAGGAAAGGAGTGGAGGGAGAGGGAGCTGGGATTGACATGTGAAGCTAATTTTATCTAATTTAATTTAAATCTAATTTAAATAAAAATTTTAAAAATTAAGTGGACTTTAGCTGTGAAGTAAAAGGCAAACATGCTACAATCAACAGGCCCAGAGAAGCTAAGTAACAAGGAGGGCTCAAGGGAGGCAGACACATGAATCTTACTATGAAGGATAATAGAATAGACATTGCCAAGGGAAAAGGGGAGTGGTCTGGTTAGGGGTGGGGTGGGGGTGGGAACAGGAGGGTTCAGGTGAGGTAGGATAAAGGGAGAGCAATGGAAGAGACAGCTGGAATTGGGGTGTGTGGAGGGCATCTCTAGAATGAGCTAGAAACATGGTACCATGGAAATGCCCAAGAATCTGAGTGTGATCCTAGCTAAGCCTCCTCCCAATGGGGGTTAAGGGACCTGAACCAGTCATCTCCTGTCACCAGGCAAGACTTCCAGTGGAGGAAGTGGAACAACAACCCAGTAACAAAACCTTCGAACTACACTTTGTCCTTTCTATAAGATGTGCTGGGGTAAAGGCGGCAAGAAATTGTGGGCATGGTCAACCAATGATTGGCTCAGCTTGAGACCCACTCTATGAGACAAAACCCACCCCTGACACTTTCTAGAGGGCCAGGGCCCAAAGGCTGGACAGCACAGAGGCCTAGAGACTTAGGATAGGACCAAATACAACTGGCAAAAAAGAAAAAGAAGTCAATCAAATGATTCTTAATGATATTCTGCTACACGGTGAGATTGGTGCCTAGCCCAACTGTCATCAAAGAGACTTCACCCAACAACAGATAGAAATAGATGCAGAGATCCACAGCCAAATACTAGGCAGAGCTTGGGGCATTATGAAGCAGAAGGGGAATAAGGATTGAAGGAGTCAGAGGGATCAAATAAACCACAAGAAATCGCATAGTATCAACTCACCTGGGCTCACAGGGACTGAACTGCTAAGGAGGGAGCCTGCATAGGACTGACCCAGGACCTTTGCATACATATTACAGTTGTGTAGCTTGGTTTACTTGGGGGACTCCTAACAGTGGGAACAGAGGCTATCTCTGACTCTGTTGCCTGTATCTGGGCAGGTACGAGGCCCCTCTTCCTCTTCCCCCCCCTTTCTCTCCCCTCCCATATTTTCATCTCTACTAGAAAAATGTTATTAGTAGAAGAACTCTAGAACATACTCTCTAGAGTTCTGTGGCCTTGAGTAAGAGACTAACCTCTTTAGAATGTCCATTTCTTTATGGATAAAGTAGTATTAATGATGCCCTCTCTTAGGATTGAACAAACTATGTGAGGCTATTTATATCAGAAGCACTTAAAACATGGCATAGCATAGCATATAGCTGCTCTATTAATTTGTGGATTATGTGTTCTTAAAAAGACTTTTCTTGATCCCATGAGAATTCCATAACTGATGCAGTGTTCCAGGCATTGTTCGGATGGTGAGAGATATTGAAGACCCGTGTTCCTCCTATCCTCAGTGGTCTTTCTTTTTCTAGTGGTACTCGGTATGGTTAAAGCTTTGAATATTTTATTTGAATTATTCATTTGTTTGTAAGATACAGAGGAAATTCGTCTTCAAGCAGAACTTAAATAGTAACCTGGGTTGCTAACTATCATTTTAGATAAGCTTTCTTGAGTTCTTTCTGGTATCTTTTTACAACTTTGTTTCCACATTTTACCTAGCTCCTTTTCTACCTGTTTCCCTATAGTTTACCATCCTCACCTTCATCTTAAAGGAGGTAAGGTTTTTATGTCAAGGCAAGTAGACCATCCTTTCAAATTCCTCAGCTTTGCAAGGAACTGATGTTTGCATTTAAATTCTGTCTCTGTTCCAAGCCAGAGACACTTTCATCTAAAGCGGAATCTACACAGGACCCGCTTCCCATGCAGTTGTGGAAGTTAGCAAGCAGGATCATTTCTTATAAGAATCTGGCACACTATTTTCTTGAGGTGTGTGTATAAATACTACGTTTACATTCTACCATAGTAGGCTCAGCCGTTCTGAGTCACACAGTGATTTCTGCTTAGATTCTGCCTCCTTGTGTATTGGGAACATTATATTCACCGAAACATGCTGTCTGAAACAAAAAGGAGAAAGAGCGACCTAGTCTGATGCATGTTTCGAAAATTGGTTCGTGACAAGGGTGTTTGGTCTTTCATCTGGATCCTGAGTTGCCCTAACTCCCCTCCTGCTGATTCAGCAGGCCTCACTGGACCCGCTGCCCCAGTAGATGGCGCTGCAAACGTAGAGCAATGACTTCTCCGCCCTAGCCTCATTGATGAGGCAATCAGAGTTCCGCTTCCAGCCTCCACCCCAAAGTAGGTGGTTCCCAAGTGCCCAGCTCAAGGCTAGACAGCAACAGATTCTAGGCTTTTTAAACGTTTTCAAGCCTCGGCCAGTCATATCTGTTTGAGTCCTGTACCAGCTTGAGACAATTCTAACCCCAGACAGAGAAAGATATCTGGAAAGGAGAACTGACATTGACCCATTGCGCAGCCTGGTTGCTCTTGCCACGAATCACAAAAACTAGGGATCAGAGGAGGAGGTGGCGGGGTGGGGGTGGGGAGGGGTGGGTAGGACAACCGTGTGTAGGTGGCTGGAGGTCACCTATCCGTTCGCACTGGCTGGTGATTGGCTCCGCGGAGGCTGCTCCACGTCACAGCTGCTGTCTCTGTAAAAGGCCAATCCACGGTTTGCCATCCCCTAAGAGTTGGCGCGCTTTTTCTGGCAGTGAGCCATTTTTGCGAATAGAGGATAACGTGGTGCCGCGACAGAATCGTAAGTGGCAGTTGAGTTTGCGGGGAAACTCAACTCTTGTGAGGATTTACCCCCTCACCTGCTGGCCGACCGGAAGCCTGGTAGGACTTGCGGGCAGGGGAATGTTGCAGAAAACCCTCCAGCATTTTTAATTCAGAAAGTGTCGGTAGGAGAGTGAGTGCAGTTCCTTTTGGGTAGTGTCAGCAGTTCTTGGGCGAGTAAAGAATAAAGTAAAAAAGAAAGAAGTAAAGGTTTTTTTTTTTCAATGCTCAAGAAATAAGACCTCAAGTTAAAAAAAAAAAAAAACTGGTAACTGTTCTTTTACTGCAAATGCCTCCTAAAATGAACTAACCCGTGTTTGTGTGCGACAAATAGTCATAAATATGGTTTCCTGTCTGTGCTTCTCTCCAGTATCAAAGCAGAGGCAGTAGCTGACAAGCTGATTTCTTTCTCAGGCATGTTCAGCACGCTCTGGTGGTGCAGCCACGTGTACTGGCCTAGCAAGCCCCTGAGTAACCCCACACTGAGTTAACTATGCTACCTGTCTCAGTCATCATGACAGGAATGGTTTTCCAGGAGTTACAACGTTGCAAATCCCTTTGATACTCAGTAGTTTTCTCAGAGATACAGCTACTGCCTTTAATAGAAAATATCAGATATTTATTTGTAGCCCTGACTTGAAAATCTTGCGTTTGGTATACCCACAGTCCTCATCTGTTACTATAGCCTTACCAGTCGTCCACATTATAGCTTGTGTTAGACCAGCGTTTAGAATACCAAATCCCTTTGTCTCTCCTCAGCCTTGCTCTTCTACCGCAGCACAGCCAAACGGTTAAGTAACTCTCACCTCCATTGCAATAAGTTCAGCTTGCTTTTATCAACAGGTTTCTGGGAGGCCACATTGGCCATTGTCAACCCCCAGCTATAACGACTGTGTGTCTGCTTCTTCTGTACTCCCTGTCCCCAAAGGTGAGAAAGACATTTTTGTGTTAGATTTTCGGTGTGTTTTTATTGTGTTTCACAGGTTCTTAATTAATTTCCTTCCTATGGGTAAAGGTACCTTTTAATACATCCTTCTAATACCAGATTTTGAAATGTTTGTGTTTTTTTTAAAGTTCTTTTTCTTTGAGTCCAAACCACGCAGCACAGCAGCACCTGTCTTAAAGAAAAATTGTAAAGGTGATATGTAAAGGTGTTAATGTTTGATGTAACCAGTGGGCATTGTTACTATGAGAGAAATATTCCTGAACTTTTAGAGATAGAAAGTGACACAGGATTATGATGTCTCAGTGTCTCTAAGTGGGGATCAGGGTGCTGTCCATTGATAGACTTATTTGCCAGCATACCTGAAGCCCTGGGTTGGATTCTAAGTATCACATGAACCTGGCATGGGGGCACGTAATTGTAATGCTAGCACTAGGGAGGCAGGAAGATTAGAAGTTCAGGTTTCAAGGCCAGCCTTAGCAACATGAGACATTTTCTAAAGAAAAAAAAAAAGAACAATTAATTATGGGTGTTGGGCCACCCATAATTGGCCAATAGGGAAACAAGACTGAACAGAGGGGGAAGGTGGGGTGTGGGACCTCCAGAAATACTCTTCTCTATGCAGTGTACATCACCTATGAAGATACTTGAAATCATTTTAAATTTGCAATTCATCTGAGCTACCTGTTTCATGTCTAATCCATCAGGCATATCTCAAAGAAGGTCCTAGTTCCTACAAGGAAACAATATGGAGATCCTGCGCTTTTTTCCTCAGGTATGTCTGTAAATACTGCACATTCACAGCAGACTTAGCCATCCTTGGCCCTAGGTCACAAGGTCCTTTCTGCCAAGAAGCCATCTTATTGTGTATTGGGAATATTTCAGACATTTCTTGTCCACTTTCTTCTTTCTGGATTGGAGAATGGCCCTGAAGGAGGGAATCATAGAACAAATGTCATCCATATCAAAGTAGCCTTTAATTAAAATAAAAAGCAAAAAGAAAAAACTCCCTGAAACAATAAGGAAAAACAGATCAAATGCATTTTGTTAGATTAAATTGGGAAAAAGCAAAGTTCCCTAGCATGGCAATATCTTTCTGAGTGTGTCTGATCTACTTAATCCTAAGAATCTGTAGTTTATGAAATGACTGTAATTCATTTCTTACTATAACCCTGTTAGGCATGTGAGAAGGAATTGTTTCTAAAACCTCTCCTGCATGTGTGGGTCTGGGAGGTCTGCTCTCTGACTCAGTGACATGACTGTAAAGGGCTCCCTGAGTTGACCAAGAAGACTGGGAAGTATCAGGCATTTAGATGCTCCTTCAAAGATATAAGCTCATTATCTTTATGCCATATTCTAGAAAACTAGAAGATTCAAACACTTAGAATATCCATGAAAAACTTAGATCTGTGTGTGTCCCCCCCAGCCCCTCCTCTGTCCTTGTCTAAGGCTGAGCAAGCTCATAACCACATGAACAACCTCTTGCTTTTTCTCATCTGCACCAGGCCAGGCATGATGGCACATGTTTAGTTTCTGAACAGCGAAGGAAGGGATCCTAAGCTCAGGACAGCCTGGGGTATGGTGTCTTAACAATCAAATCAAAACTCTTAGGTAAATATCTAGGGCTTCTACCATGTCCGAGGGAATGGAAGCATTGGAAGTGCAAACCTAACCTCCTGATTTAGATTCCTGCAATGTAAGAAGAGAACTTACTCCCACTCTTGTCCCTTCCCTTCCACGTGAGGGGCACAGCATACTTCAGGCCTGCACTCACACACACAAACACTAATGGTGGTCTTGGGTGTCTCTGTTGAATAGTCGAAAGTATATCCCAGCTCTTTCAAGTGGTGAGACATGAATGTTTCTTAGGGTGATTAGACAGAAGAGTCACTCTTTGAGACTTCCCTCACAAGCTTCTTTAAATTTTGTTTTAACCAGGGTATCAGTGTTATTACTAATGATGAATAGGCTTAGGCTTCACCATGTTCCACCACTGTTATTCCCGTTGCCATGAGTGAACCATACTTGTTCACCAACAGAGAAATTGAACTTTTCGGACACAGGAATCAGATGCCTTAATTTTTAAATCATTTTCTCAATTTTGATAATTTCCCCTTAATCCCTTCCCTCTTCCCATTTTAAGATAATGTCTCACTACATGGATGTTCTGAGTACAAATTTATAGAACAGAACACATAGTCTAATGAAAAAAAATATTACACTAACTACTGGACTTCAGAAACTCACTTCCTTGTTGGTTATCATGTGACTAAGAAAGGCACTTAGCCAAAGTTCCTGTGAACTCACAGAGACTGAAGCAACATGCACAGGGCCCTCATGGGTCTACATCAGGTGCTCTCTATATATCATTGCTTCCAGTTTAGTGTTTGCAAGGGATTGCCGAGTGTGCCAACGAGAAGTTCTCTGATCCTTGTGCCTCCTCTTGGGCTGTCCTCCTTCTGTTTGTTATATTCAATTCTGATGTGTTAATCTTTGTTCCATCTTCTTATATTATATTTAAAATGCAAAAAAGAAATGAACTTTAAAAAATGAACATTACATTCTTGATCTTCTCAACTGCTGTACAGTGACATGTTTGTTGTTGTTGCTCCTGTATAGTTCATGGCGTTTGAGAACTGACGTAAACAAGAAAATAGTGTGAGTGTTTTTGTGGTAGATGTTGTCTAAATCAACTTATTGAGGAGCCATGAATATTGTGAATTTGAGGCCAACCTGGGCTATGGATATAGGTCCACAGTAGCCATGACTATTCAGTGAGACTCTACCTCTCAACTGTGTGTATGCTTGTGCAAAGAAATTACAAAAGAATTCTAAGTGATTCTAAGCTTAAAAATTTTAATCTAGTGTTTAAAAATAATAAATTAGATACAAACTAAACACTTTCTATTGCAACTGGTAGATTTTGAGACATCTGGATGAGTTATGTTCCTTCTGTCTGCTGATTAAGAAAATATGGCACATATTATATACAAAATCACTTGAATAGAGCTGTAGTCAGTTTTCTAAAGTGTCTATTATTTCTCTTTAGGTTCCAAAAGAACATGATCCCATAATTTCTAAAATGAAAATGGAATGTAGACAAAGACCAAAGGAGGTGACCAACAACCAGGACCAAAGATCACATTCGGAACAAAAAACTCCACAAGTTCAGAACTCTCCCCAAAATAGGAAAATTACCATCACTTTTGGTATAAATCATACAGCCTATGAAACCACAGATGAGGAGAGAGCTAGCTTATACGAGGCACTGAACACCCTTGACCCTGTCAAAAGAGAGATAGAAAGACAGCCAGGCAAAGAAATGCTGGTGTGTGGCATAAAAGGAATAGAAGGGTACATAAACCTTGGTATGCCCCTCCGTTGTTTTCCAGAAGGCTGCCATGTGCTCATTACATTTTCCAAAACTGAACGTGAGGAGAAAGAAGATAATGAAGTGTGTGGTCACTTTGACCAATCACCTGCTGAGTGTGTTGTATTTTACATACATGCAGTTGGGAATAGAGAGCAAAGGATTCTGAGGTGCAGGGAACTTCACAACGAGGGGACCAAACTCTGTGTCTATGGCTTCAAGGGAGAGACCATCAAGACCACTCTGAGGAAGGATGGCAGGTTTGATTCCTTTGTAGAGAGTGCCCATTGGAAACTCATTACCAATGACACCACCATAGCAAACACCCAGCCAGTTGATGTGTTACAGGGCAAGCTCTTTCAGATTGATGTCGAGAGAAAGGAGAACCCTTGGGTGGCATTGGCAACTCAGAAATCTGAGTTAGAGGACAGAACCTTCAGTGAGTTAAAAGGATACATTGTGAATTTGTACCCCACACTGAAAAGAGAATGTGAGAAAATGAGAGCATACATCAAGGAAGAGAGTGAGAAAAGAAAGAAAACCTCCTTATTCAAAGCACATAGAGAAAACTTCAGGAAGTTGACCCAAAACTCCACTCCAGGTAAAGTCTTCAAACTCCTTTCACAGCACAGTGACTCAGTGGGGCTCATAGTTTGGAACAACAATGGGAAGAGGGGTAGTGCTACTTGCTTCCTTTTCAAAGGGCTGTACATTTTCACTTGTCGACATGTAATAAATGACATTGTAGGGGAATGCATAGAGCCAAGTAAGTGGGCAGATATAATTAGTGAGTGTGTAAGAGTGACATTTGATTTTCAAGTGTTCCCCGCAAAGGAAGACAGCTATTGTTTTGTTGAACCTTGGTTTGAGGTGTCTGATGTAACTCTTGACTATGCTGTCCTGAAACTGAAGAAAAATGGACAGCACATTCCTACAGGAATCTGTAATGGAACACCTTCTGAATCACTTAGTGGGTTTATATATATGATTGGTCATCCAAATGGAAAGTCTAAGGTTGTTGATGGTTGTACTGTGATACCTCAAGATGAACAAAGAAGGAAATGTGAGGACATTCAGGGAAGAGAAGCAGTGGGTGGCAGTGATCCTACACCATATATCTATATGTACACCCAAAGAAGTTTCCAGAAAAAAATCCATGAACCTGGTTTGGTTACCAGGGATAATGCTTTCTATTGTGGGTCTTCTGGATCTCCTATATTTGATGCTAAAGGGTCACTGATCGCCATGCACACTGCTGGCTTCATTTGTGAGTATGCAAGTGGAGTTTTCAGCATCATTGAATTGGGCTCTTCAATAAAACACATCCTTGATGATATTAAACAAAAACATGAAAGATGGTACAATGAAATTTGTGCATTCAGCAGGATATAGAAATACTGAGTCTAAGCTGAGCTTTGGTGGTACACGCCTTTAGTCCCAGCACTCGGGAGGCAGAGGCAGGCGACGGATCTCTGTGAGTTTGAGTCCAGTCTGATCTACGGAGGAGTTTCAGGACAACCTCCAAAACAATACAGAGAAACCCTATCTCAAAAAACAAAAACAAACAAACAAAAAAGAAATACTGAGTCTAGAAGACTCAGAACCGAGAATTCAGTCAGTTTCGTATTATTAAGGTAGCTGCCTCTGTATTGTTTTTCCGTAGGCAATGACAACATTTCTTTACATTTAAATGGTGAGGACCCTCCACTTGGTTTTTTCCATAGGGTTTGTACAACTTCGCACACCCACCAGCAATGAATGAGTGTTTCCCTTACACCATAAACTCACTAGAATGAACTATCACTTGCTTTATTGATCTTGGCCATTCTGACTGGATTATGATGAAAACTCAAAAGTAGTTTTGATTTGCATTTTCCTGATGACTAAGAGTGTTTGCCATTTGAATTTCTTTTGAAAATTCTCTATTTCGATATGTAGGGTTTTTGTTTTTCTTTTTCTTTTTTAGTTTAGATATAGATATAGATACAGATACAGATATGAATCCTCTATCTGATTGGTAAAATCTTTTCCCATTCTGTAGCCTGCTGCTTTGTTCAAATGGTGATATTCTAATGAGGTCTCATTTATTAATTATTGTTCTTAGTGCCTATGCTATCTCTGTCATGTTCAGGAAGTCTTTTACTGTGCCAATGAGTTCAAGGTGCATTCTTTTCTGTTAGTCTCAATGTCTCTGGCTTTATGTTGAGGTGGTTGATCCATTTGGAGTTGAGTTTTGTTCAGGGTGATAACTATGGATCTATTTGCATTCTTCTACATGGATACATCCAGCATCACTAGCAGTATTTTTGACAATGCTACCCAACTGTCAGTGTTTTTGTCTGCTGAAATAGATGACTTTTCATCTGTCCCATTTAATAGACTCTGCCATCATAGAAAAGCATGCTTAAGAGTGTCATATTACAGACTTCGATGATTCCCCATGGGTGGTGTCACCTTCCCTGAGGAGTGGATGGGGGGTGGGATGGGGTTGGATGGGGGGCTGGTGGAGGGGATGGGAGGACAAGAGGGAGAGGGAACTCATATTGGTATGTAAAATAAGATTGTTTTTAATTTAAATAAAATTATTTGAAAAAAGAGTGTCATTAAAATTGGGCACAGGTATGAAATTTCTATAATAAACTCCCATATTTCCATTTTTGCTTGTGTTCTATGTAGAAATTCCAAGTGATCCAAAGACATTCATATTTTCTCTTAATTCGTTTTTTTAATGAGTCAACTTTTGGAGACAGGATTTCCGATATTCCAAGCTAGCTTCAATCTTACTATCTAGTCAAGGTTGACCTTGAATTGCCTTATGTCTCCATGTTTGTGCATGTGTAGCTGTGTCTGTGTGGCGTGCATGTATATCTTTGGGTGTGTGCATATGTACTTGATTGAGCATATATGTCTATGTGGGCATAGATGTGTTGTGAGCGCGTGGAGATCATATGCCAGCATCAGGGGTTTTATTCATTCATTCTTCACCTTAATTTTTGAGCCTGTTTCTCTCACAGGACCTGAAGATTACTGAATTGGCCAGACTGGCTGTCCAGCAAGCCTCAGGATTGTCCTCTCTGACCTCCTCTGTACTAGAATTACAGGCAAGGCAGGTATCAACTGAATTTTTCTGTTTACTAATTATCCAATCTGGTGTTATGCTCATACAGTGAACACTTTACAGACTGAACCTTTTCTCCAGCCCTGGAACTTCTGCTTCTGTCACCTTCACAAGTTCTTGAAGTTTTGACCCTCCTGGATCCCTTCCCCAAGTGCTGGTTTGGTAGGAATACACCAGCCATCAAATCAGGTGCATGAGGGGCCAGGAGCCAAATCCAGAACTCAGAGCATGCTAAGTAAGCATTCTACCAAATGAACTTCATAGTCAACTCTCTAAAGGATCTATTCAGCTCTCTAGCTTATAAAAACCAGGTTTCTTCGTGGCATTTTCATACATAGTTTCTGTTCATTCCATCTGCCTTCCACTCTTGTCTCCACCTATCTCGCTTCGTCTCCCTCCTACTTCCAGAATTCCTCTTTCCACACTGATGCTGTTTTCCAGTGATCTCCTTGACCATCTCCCTCAAAGTCTTTCTGGATCTTCTCTGGCCCTTCCATCTCAAGGACCCTCTTTCTAGTTGCTGCCTCTAACCATGCTACTTCCACCCAAATTTACATCCAAAGGCTTGCAATGTGGCCTTTTGGTCAGTTTTAATTTCTGCCATCATTCTTTCCAAAACACTCATTTTCACTACTCCCCATAGTGTCTCTCATATTTTCTTCTTATTCGTGTTAAAGAATAGCAGGTAGAATTTTGAATTAAGATTTTGAAAATTACAAATCTGTATACATAGCATGACTTGAAATTCTTTTTTATGACTTACAAAAGAATATAACAACACTCAGGAGGCAGAGGCAGGCAGATCTCTGTGAGTTCGAGACCAGCCTGGCCTACAAAGCTACACAGAAAAACACTGTCTTGAAAAATCATGATGCGCACTGTTGTAGGTACTTACAATGTGGTAATTCATTCCTCATATATGTGAAAGTCAGAGTCCATTCGAGAAAAGAAGGCTATGCGATGAAGAAGCAATCTCACAGTCTAACAATGGGTCAGAGACAATGCTTTATTGGGGGCATCTATGGAGTATCTGAGAACCTGCAGAAGGTGGGAGGATTGAGGGTGATGGTGTGGGAAGGTTGAGAGCAGATACTACTCAGCAGCAATAACTGATTCTTCCTCTGCCGGAACTGAGTTATATGCTGGAAAATTTCATACAGTTGGTAGTAGAGAACAAACTAAATGCTTTCTCACAATACCGCTTAGTCTCCAGATAGCCAGCAGAAATGAAGTCAGCAAGCATGAATTCAAATCTGGATAATAATGAGCAATGTTGACTCAAGTTTGCCTTAAATGAAAGCTCCATCTAATTAGAGCAGACTGCACTTGCAGCCTGCAGTGAAGCCATTGGGTCTCTACTCAATCTAAGATCAAGTAACCCTTTCATAAGGTGTAGAGAATCATTTAAATATGATTGATGATGGTCACAGACACAACTCAAGGATATATAAACCTGAGGCTGTCTCTGGAGTGGCTGTTCCGAGGTTCTCAGTCAACTTTGATGTTTGACTTTGGTAATACAAACATCAAATCTCTTGGGAGGAGAGTAACAATACTGAAGATGAAGGAATTTCATGACAATGAAGTACACTTTGTATCTATGCCTGAGAGGTGAGACTATCAAAAAGTTCTCTGCAAAGATGGCCAACTGAGATCTCACCTAAGTGAACTCAAATGGATTCTATCATAATTAGCTTTAACTGTCAACTTGGTGTAAACCTAAAGTCATCTGGAAAAAGTGAAACACTACTGATGACCTTTCCAGATCAGACTGGCCTATGGCCACATCTGTGAAGCATTTTTTTAAAATTCTTATTGATGTAGGAGGGGAAAGCACGCTGTAGGTAAGTTGGCTTGGATTGTATAAGAAAGGAAAATGAACAGCCAGTAAGCAGCGATCATGTGTTTTCTCCCATGAGCCTTTGTTTTGAGTTCCTATCTTGGCTTCTCTTGATGCTGGATTGTAGCCTATAAAGCTTTTGGTCAGAGCTCTTTATCACAGCAACAGAAAAGCTAACTAAGACAGACACTAAGAAGGTAACAAGATAATTCACAGACAACAGTCTATAGTGGATATGAAGTTAATAAAACGGTTTCAAAAAACTTAGAAATGGGCAATTTTTTAGACAGTAAACGTAATAAATTCTTTGTGTCTACGTGAACTGGATACAGACTCCTTGGGAAAATTACAGAACAGACCCCACCATGGTAAGATACTATGAATCTGGTAACTAACTATGATTCTGGGTATCTAGAAGAAGATAGCTCATCTCTTGACAAATTTTCAATGTTGAAACAACCCATAGTGCATCCATATCAGAATTAGAAAAGAAAAATATTTTTTGAGACAGGGTTTCTCTGTGTATACTTGGCTATCTTGGAACTTGTTCAGTAGACCAGGCTGACCTTGAACTCACAGAGATCCACCTGCCTTTGCCTCCTGAGTGCTGGAATTAAAGGCCTGGGCCACCATTGCCTGACTGGCTTGGGAAAATATTTTAGAAATCCACTATGGGCTGGAGAGATGGCTCAGTGGATAAGAGCATTTTCAGCTTTGTTAGAAACACTAACAGACTAACACTAACAGATGTCTGTAACTCCACTTCCAGGGGATCCACATCCTCTTCTATCCTACTCCAGGACACTAGACATGCATACATACATAAAGGCAAACACGCATATAAAGAAAACAAAAATAAATATTCTATAAAAATCCATCATGCTAAAGGTGATTGGAAAGCCATGTACAGGTTCAGTAAATGAAATCAGTTTTTGGTTTTTTTGTTTGCTTGTTTGTTTGTTTGTTTGTTTGTTCGCTTGTTTTGGCAGAGTTTCTCCAACAGGGTTTCTCTGTGGCTTTGGAGGCTTTCCTGGAACTCATTCTTTATAGAACAGGCTGGTGTTGAACTCACAGAGATCCGCCTGCCTCTGCCTCCTGAGTGCTGGGATTAAAGGCATGTACCACCACTACCCAGAAAAATAGTTCTTGAAATTAGCTCTTTTATTCTCTATGCCTGTCCTGCGCTTCTTCATGTCCAGGTTTTGAAAGTTATAGTTCCAAGTATCTTGCCTTTTTGTTTTCTATGATGATGATTATATAGCTCACGGTGAGTAAGGACATAGGTCCAAGTTTGTGGCCACAATTAGTAATAAGTAAAGGTGGCTTTCTGTTGTAAAGAGCTCTGGTCTTCTCTGATATTGTATTTCCCATTGAGACATAGTTTTACTGTATGATAGAAATCTAGAGTATACAATTAAATGGAAAGATGGAGGGACTGGAGAGATAGTTCAGTTGGTAAATTTAGTCAGACATTGTGTAAAAAAAAAAGGAAAAAATTCAGTGAATGAAAAGGATAGGGATTGCAGCTCAGTAGTAGAGTTCTTAACTCACATGCACAAGGTCCTGAGTTTAATTTCTAGAATCTTGGGAGAAGAAATGGGGACAGGAAGAGAGGAAAGAAAAATGAGAGACATAGTTCTGCTGCGATTCTGACATGGTGGACAAGCAGCTCTTGGATGCAAGGGAGACTGTCCCACATCAGATGTGTATAACTTGATGAGATAAGATACCTGATAAATCAACAGTCACCAGAACCACTCAAAGTCCATAACTTCTAAACTCAAGAAGGGAATTTCACAGTCCAAGAGAGGATGGTTTCTAGAAAGAAAATGAAATACAGGATTAGAGGAAGAAGGAAAGAACACAGAGATCCCAGGAAATAGGACATGATAAAACTGTTAGTCTAGGGGCTTTTCCTAGAACTTATGGCAGAAACTGTAGTCAGCCTAAGAGGGTATTCAGCCCAGTCAGCCTACCCACAAGGTGTCCAAGAGCTTATTAGTTCAGTCACGACATCAGTGTACCTTCCAGTCAGTGGGGCTTGCATTGAAGGTTATGTAAATGGAGAAGAAACGTAACAAGAAGTTGGAGCAAGAACCTGACATTCAGCCAGGACAGAACCAAGGATATTTTCAGCTTCAGTACAAGAACTGAGGTCACTAACCCTCAATTGCCTTTTAGCTTCTGTTGGTCATTCTCATCAATCGCTATACACCAAGGTTAGGAAGATCTCCAGATTATTAGCAAGACAAGCAGAGAACTCCAAGCTTCCATTTGTCTGCTTTTACACAAAGAAGGTTTCTGTCAGGGGTTTGCAGTGCGTACACGACCACATAAAACTTCTTACTGTAGTCGGTCTTCACATTCTCCAGTGTGAAAATCTGAAAGGCTTCCCGCTGACTTATAATTGGGTATATTTATAAATGTCAAGATAGAATTCATGCCTTTACTGACTTTGGTTAGTCTATGTATTCTATTCTTTTCAATACTAAATAGAAATAATGAGAGTTTAGTTGATTGAAGACACAAAAGACAGTCACAATAAACAGAAAACTAACAAGATTTCATTTCAAATTCATAAGACTGATCCAGGAAGAGTGAAAAAATAAAGATATAACAGATGGGCCTGATTACACAAGTTGGTAATCATTTACTCCAGAAGCCAATGAAGGAGAATCACAAGTTCCAAGCCATGCTAAAGGCCAACCTTGAAGTTCTGTCCCCAAACCAGATGTTGGGGATGTGATTCAGTGGTAGAACATTTATCTAGCAGATACAAGGTCTTCAGATTAATCCCCACTCAAAAGTACATATTAGAATTCAAGTCAATAGTTAAGATGTTCTCACTGGCTTTTAAAACTGGAAAACATCTCAATCCTCACTTAAAATACTCAGCCCATGTACAGTGTACTTTACAAAACCCCTTAAATTTGCTATTCTAAATGCTTAGGGTGCTGCATCACCATAGCTGCCAGAGAGATTCTTACTTTCTGATAAGATTCCAAAGTCCTTTGGTAATCTAAATTTTCTTCCTTTCTTATCATTATGACACCAGCTTCTACTGTCAGTAGAAGAATGTTCCAGGTTTCTGCTTGTTGCCCTCAGCTCTCAGCAACTACTAACTCTTCTCTGGCAGGTAAGAAAAGTCACCCACTCTCTACCTCATTCTTCTCATGATGTTCATTGTTTTGAATAACAAAGGCCAAATCTCAAGCAATTAATTAGCAACTAATTTCTTAACATAAGTTGGATTCTTCTGCACTTACATACTCTATGAAAGGCAGAAACGAAGTGCAGGTCGTCTTGCTTCTGCTCCATTTCAGGCAAGCTAAGTCACAGAAAGGTGAATGTGTAGAAATCACAGTATAAATTACCTCAGTATCAATGTGTAACAGTCAGTTTCATGGATAACCAGAGTTCTAGCAGCAGCAGCTGTAAGGGTTGGAGGATCTGGCATTTACTTTGAATATATAAGGATGCTACTTTGATAGAAACTCTTTCCTAATGCAGCTTCTTGACTCCCATGTTCTTGAACTTAGTGATTCTCCTGCTGCCATGAGAACCCACTGTTGTTTGCATCTTAAATATTTCTGCACAGGGTCCTTTATTTTGTGTTCCATCGACCTGAACTTGGACAGTTAGCAGCTAGTTGGACTGTCTTGGTATGCACATGTTCGGACTGTCTAAATATGCACATTTTCTTTATGAAAGAACCATAAATCAGGCTCAAGGATCTTGTTTCTAAACTCTAGATTTTTGTGTCTATCACAAATTACATAGGAATAACTGCTGAATTTCTTTAAAAATGAATTTTAAACAAGAGGTTTTAATTTTTCTTACACACACACACTTTTCTGTATCACAGAAATTACAGCCTGACCAAGATAATTAATTTTTCAATCAGCTTACATTTCAGTCTTCAACATGGACCAAGATGCCTGTTTGATTGGTAGACAGCTCCTTGAAAGCCTCATGCTTAAGGGCAAATTTTCATGGAATCAGATGTCATATAAGCTTCTAAAGGACGGATGCAACCACTAGTCCTACCCAACTAGGATGACTATAAACCACAATAGTAACAAGCATGGAACAATAACCCTAAGGGCTCACAGTGGCATAAATTGGACTTAAGACCTGTGCAACTAAAAAGAACCTATGTCTGGTCCTAGAAATCTAGCACGCTACTTAGAGCTAGTGAAGTCATGGATCTTGGAGGAGAACCTGAAACTGCCACTTTATGAAGCTAGCATCATCCTTAACTATATTTTAAATGTTACTCTTCTGCTCACAAATGTATGTACCTCCACACCTCATCAAGGAAGCTTCTCTTTGTAACAGAGACCATTATAGAAAACCACAACTGATCAAAATGTAGAGTTGTAGAGCCCAGTCCCAACTGACACATCTACAGCATAACTCCTGCACCTAAAGTTCAGGGAATTGTTGCTGAAGAGGAGGCAGAAAGAACATGAGCCAAGGGTACAGGAGATTTGCTGTGTGATTTTGTCTCCTAGAATGTCTGAAGTTACACCTATGAGGGCTCACTAGTATGGGTACCTAAACAAGAACTAATAAAGATGACGTGAATAGACATGTTAACATGGAAAGGGAGGAAGCTCATGAGGCCTCAACCTAGACAAGAATTAAAGTGACTAAGGAAAGTTGACAGCAGGAGTCTTGCCTGAGAAAGAGACACCAATATACAGTTTGGTCATCCAATACCAAAGGATCACCCCTAAAAACATACATACCATTATTTGATATTAGAACAGAACACACACACACACACACACACACACATGCTTTGGTATGTGTTTGAAAAAATACAAGGTGGTTGTGGTGGAGTACATGGGAGGAACTTAAAGGAGTAGAAGGAAGGAGAGAAATAATGTAATTATATAAATCTCAAAAACTAAAAAAAGAAAATGAGAGGAAGAAAGAAACTAACTTCTACTCAGCACAGTCGTGCATCACCCAAGGGTAAGAGGAAAATGGAGAAGTGTGCCTCCTGCTCCATGCTCTCTTTTACTCCTCCTAGTTTCTTTGTACTATAATTTTTTAAACTCAGTTGCAAAACCTTATGACTTCAACCCATAATAACTACATGCTTTTGGATATCCCATGTTTTTCATACCAAGTTCCTTTCCATCCTGTGGTCTACTTTTATATTTATATCATTTCTCAGTTGATAGTGACACATGACAAATGCTTAACAGCACATTTGCAGTCTATGGTTCTGGAATGGGCACCATGATCTTCACCAGGACTGAAAACCTCAGCAGGTACTCCGGTTCCTTTGGGAAACAGATTCATGGTAAGTGAATTTGCTCTGAAGGCAACTGTAGCTTCTTCCTGACTCTCAAAGCCTTCAGCTGCCACCTACAGGGGCTGTCATTCTCTCTCCTCACTCACTACCTGGCAACAGAGATTGGTGTCTCTGAGCAAATGTCCTTGCAGGACCTGGGTCCCCATCTTTTCTCTGGTCAGGACTCCAGTACGCCCTTGGGCCAAGTTCCTGCCTGTGGCACCTTGGGCGCCTGGGTCGAGCTGAAGCAGGAACCCTTGCACCCTGTCTCCTCCACTTAGCTCAATAGCCAGATCTGCATCTGGCCCTCTACCGACCTCGAAGGATGTTCAAATACTCACGAATAAAGAGGAACCTGGCAGAGGAAAGGCCTGTTCTACTCAGCTGCAGACAAAGCTGTGACTCTCAATCTTCTAACAGAGAGAAGCATGCTCAGGAGCCGGGAGTGCTCTCTTGCCTCCTAGTAGCGCCACCCGTTTCCCGCCATCATCAGACTGCTCTAGCGCTGCGCCAATGAGGGCTGTAAGGCCCTCCCACGCCAGCTACGTCCTTTGGCGCGCTTTTCTAGAGCAGAGGCGCTGTGGCAGACGTCCTCAGAGTCCCGCGGTGACAGACGGTCTTAGTTAAACAGAAACTGTGACTGCGCGATTTGGAGAGAACTCTTTTGCTTAGGTGAGTTACTCTTAGCTTCGGGGCTGACTTAGATCTTGGGAGGATTTATTTGCAGTGGAATAATGCCGAAAATCCTCTTTCAGACGGGGGTCAGGGAGGCAGAGCAGTGTGCACCTGCGTGCCATGGCTCCGGAAGAGGGCGCTGAGCAAGATGGCATCACTTGAATCTATCTGCATTTCTTGGGGACTAAAAGAACTCCAGGGCTCGGGTGGGGGGGGAGAGGTTGAAGGAGTTGGTGGGGGCGGTGGAGGAGGGGAGGCAGAGGGAGTTGAGACTGACATGTGAAGCAAGCTTGTTTCTAATTAAAAAAAAAAAAAAAACCACCGGGGCTCAAGGGAGAACACTTTCTGATGGTAAAACCTGGTCTGTAAACCGGGTGACTCGCTTTAAGAAATGCCCCTAAAATTAATTTCTCAGTGTCTAAATGTGTGTGTAGCAAATATCCACAAATACATTTTCTTGAGTGGGCCTCTGTCTAGAATAAGGGTACAAGATGTAGGTGACAAAAGCCGATCTCGTCCTTAGGCATGCTCAGTGTGTAGACTAATGCCATCGGTTCTCGCGTAGCAGGCTACTACAGTAACCTGACTTACTCTTCTGCTCTTTAAATCGTCATCAGTGCTGAGTGTTCTGCCAGGGGACTACAAAAAGTTGCAAGTGCAATTATAATTTATTCCACTAGTATGCGCAAGTATCCAGTCACTCTTCATAGAAGATATCAAAGAACACTTTACAAGTTTTTAATCCTGGTCTCTAAATCCTAGGTTTGGTATAGACACCAATCCCAATCTGTTGCCCAATCCTAACCAACCCCAGCCCCCAATTAAAGCCTGACTTAAACAAGGCCTCAAATTCCCGCAGTACTACACTCGGTCTCAGCCTAACCGTGTTCTCTCTCAGTACCGCTAGGACTGTGTGAAGTGCTTGTTCTCATTACCCCAAGAGCAGTAAACCGAGGTTTGTGTGTACGAAGTCAACATCCACAGTACCTGTGTGTGCGGCAGTGACGTCACCTCAGTATTCCTGGCGGTCACTCTTGGATTCAGAGGCAAGAAAGTAGATGTTACATCAGTCATTTTGCTTCTACTGTGATTTGTGGATTTTTTTATTTGTACTGGTAAAGATAACATTTTAGGAACCTTTGTGATTATATAATCAGTTGTTGAAAAGTTTTTAGGTTTGGCCTCCCCAAAGTCTACCTGTAAATAGCAATATTGCAGTTTGTATCTGTCCTCTTTGGTTTTGTTTGGTTGGTTTTATCCTTGAGTGAAATAAGTGCACAGAGAGCAGACATGGGCCTTGGGAATCTGATACTCAGGCTGGCTGTGTGTGGCATGAGGCTGACCACAGAGGGCGTTGTTCCCATCTGGAGATGCCAGAGAGTCTAGGACATCATTCTTTCTGAATAACTGAGGAGTGCTTAGGTGGGTAGGTGTGTTAAGAAAGTCCTTCCAGGTTGACAAAGGGAAGGAAACAACCAATGTTTTATTTAAATTGTTTGTTATTTTGGGAGTGGACAACAAAGGAAAAATAGTTGGGAGAAAAAAAAAAAACTTCTTTAAGTAAAGGCACTGGCTTTTATTCCAGCACTTAGGATGTAGAGGCAGGGGGCTCTCTAAGTTCAAGGCCAGCCTGGTCTATAGAGTGAGTTCCAGGACAGTCAAGGCTGCATAGAGAAACCCTGTCTCTGAATTAACAATCAAAAAAACAAAAAAGAAAAATAAAAAGAAAGCAGTAACTAAGGCTCCTAAATATTATCTTCCTTGCATTTTCAGATTTTAATAACTCTTGCTAAATTTCGTTTCAGGGTATTATCCAGTTTTCCCTTTCTTATTTCCCTACAATTTGTTATCACTTTCCATCTTTATCTTCAATGAAGATTATAATTCCTTAAATAATTATTGTTTTTGGATTATAACATAATTACATCATTCACCCTTCGTTTTTCAAACCTCCCATCACACACACACACACACAGAAAGAGAGAGAGAGACAGACAGACAGACAGAGAGACAGAGAGAGAGAGAGAGAGAGAGAGAGAGAGAGAGAGAGAGAGAGAGAGAGAAACCAGATTGCATTCTCAGAATACTGAGAGAGGGAGAAAGAGCCTTTCCCATGAAAGAACATACCAGTTGGTTATCTAAAACCAAATGGAAGCCCTGAAAACATACACACAAGTAACAACATACGTTCAAAGATTAGGTTTAACATCTCCGTTAGTAGAAAACATGCTTTATTTTTCTAACTGTAAATTTTTTGTGGGTTACTGTACCAACATTTAATGTCCTCTCTGTTTCAAGATTTGGACTTGGGCACTTCACCTTCTTTTCCAAAGTATTCTGTCTGAAACAAACAAAAACATCCAAATGGAACCTGTTTTCCCTGATAGTTCTGTTGGTCAGCCATTAGAGACAATTTTGATACTTTGGTATAACACCTGACCTACAGCGCTTCACTTTTACCATTTGGCTCATGATGCTTGGTGGATAAACTATCTGATGCTAACACCATCCTGGAGCACGAAAACTGAAGAAGAAAGACGTGATTTAGAACTTCCGGCATTTTTTCCCCTAGATACAATATGTGATGGTTGGGAAGATACTGCTGTAATATGAACTGTTTTGAAATTACTGTTTCAGTTGGAGCATCTGTTTCACCTTCAAGCCACCATGAGCTATAGCAAGCCCAGGTCTCAGGAGGTCCATCATGATTTAAGGGAAAGCATGAAAATCAAGTACCATCCGTCTCGGGTATGTCTGTAAACATTTGTGTATTTGTGAAATGTCTTCCCATTAGACTATATTATTCTAGATCCTAGGTCACATAATCTTCCTGCTAAGACAAGGACTTATCAGTACTGGGAATATTGCATTCATTGAAATGTGTGTGACTGCAGGGGCTGGAAGATTGCATCCAGTGCCCTGGACTTACAGATAGCTGTGAGCTGCTATATGGGTGCTGGTGCCCAAAGCTGGGTTCTCTGTTAGAGAAGTATGAACTCTTAACCACTGAGCTGTCACTTCAGTCCTTGAAGCAATTTTTTTTGCAACATCATATCCAATGTATTAGATTAAACTGTAGAAATAACAAAATTAATAGTACTTTAGGAGTATAAAAATCTTACCCAGGTTGTGGCTAATCTTCTGAATCCTAGCAACCTTCATTTGCACAGTGCCTTGCAGTTTGCAAACATAATTTTCTGTGCATCTGTTCCTACCCTTACCTCATTAAGTGGGTGCAGGGGATTCCACGTCGGATATGTTTATGGCAAGAAAGGAAAGAAGGGGTTTCCTGAGCCAAGTGGAGCCTTGGACAAGGTTGCTTACCTGAAGTCAGAGTTCTTCCTGGTCTGCAGGCTCTGCTGACATGGCAGATTCTGTTTCTCTTCTGAGTCTAAAGCACTTCTTGAATTGATAATAAGAGGCTGAGACTACCAGTCCTTTGGCTTGTTTCCTCTTGTCCAATTCTAGAAAAGTTGATGATTCAAACAGCTAGAAAATCTATGAGGTTTTTGTTTCTAGGTCTGTTTTTTCTCTGTCCTACTTCATGACAGAGCAAGTTAGGAACAGCACATAGGACCTGACTATCCCTTTCAAAAATGTCAAACCAGCAAAGTGCCTCACACCTGTAATCTTAGCACTCTGAAGGCAGAGGATTACGAGTTCCATGCCTGCCTGGGTTACTGTGTCTCAAATGCACAGCACAAACCAAAAATTGATGAAGTATCTATATTTGTCCAAGGAACCCGAGTAGGTGGAAGTGTGCTGCAGCATCCCACAAAGTGGTGTACAGATGCTTCTGACAGCCTTTTAACTGAAGAGGTGCTTTCTGAGATTTTCTATGCATGCCTACAGGACATTTATATTACTTTACATTCTTTTATATGTTTAAAGCAGAGTAACAGTTATGGCAAATGATGACAGGCTTAATATTTACCATATTCCACCACGGTTCCAGCCACTACCAGTGAGTATACTGCTGGCATGGAAATCTTGCCGAGATAACACAATGTAGGAACATGGGGCAAAGGGCTTTTATTTTTGTTCATTTTTGCTATTTGATTGTCAACCTTGGTTCTCCCTTCTTTCTTCTTCCCTGACTCTTAAGATGGTGGTGTATAAGAATGGGACACAAATACCATGAGTAGTCTAATGGGAAAAGACATTATTTGTAATTCAGATAGGTTGTTATGTTACATTAGGAAAAGCATTTAGGAGATGAATTTCTGATCCTCAATTTCTCCATCAAAAAAGAGGCCATACATAGGATTTGTGAATTTATGTAATAAAGGAAATACATTGATTTCTTTGCAGAGTAGTTAGTGGTAGGTGAATTGGTGTATTGATTTTTCATGAGTAAGTAATTAAGTAATGATCAACTGGTTTAGATTTCACTCCTGGATAAAAAAATAAATCATAAAATAGCACCTGAAGAGATGGCTCAGTATGTAAAACACTGGCAACAGAAGTCTGTGGGACAGAGTTTGGATCCCCAGGACCCGGGCATGGTAGCCCAGATCTAATACCAGCATATGAGAGACAGGTTAGGAGATTCCTGGAGAATACTGGCTAGCTAGATTGGCTTAATTAGAAAATTTTGTTTTGAAGAGACTCTAACTCAATACATAAAGACAGAATGATCAAAGAAGATACCCAACTTAACCTCTTACTACATATGCTGTGGAAACATGTGCCCGTACACGTAGGAATACCCACAAACACACACTCCCAAACTCCACAAATAGATGCATGCACAAACAAAAAGAAATTTAACATAAAAAATAAATCACACTAGCATATGCCTGCTAATTTTTAAAAATGATTTCATTACCTTTAACCCCAGCACTTGGGAGGCAAAGGCAGGTGGATCTTTGTGAATGCGAGGCCAGCCTGGTCTACAGAGCGAGTTCCAGGATAGCCTCTAAAACAATACAGAGAAACTCTGTCTCGTAAAACCAAAAAAAAAGTCTTCACTAACGGTGAACATGGTAGTGCATTCCTGGCTTCTGAGCACCAGAGTGAAGGAGGAATGAAAATCATGAGTTTGCGGCCAGCCTGGGCTAGATATTTTATTCCATAGTGGTTTCAACTACAGAGTGAAATCTGGTCTCAGAGAAACTACGATAGATGTCTGGAGAGATGGTTTGCTTTCTAAATGAATGTGCTGCCCTTAAGGAGAGCTAGAGCTCATTGACCAGCACTGACATCATGAGGCTCGAACTGGCTGGAATTCTAGCTCCAGGGATTATAATGCCCTCTTCTGGTCTCTGCTCGTACTGCAGTAACATGCCAAGCCCACATAGTTACACCAACATACACACATAATTAAAAATACAAATAAAATCTCTTACAAAAACAAAAATGAACAAATTCCAGTTTAGATACCATAATTCGCTATGTTTGGCAAAGATAAAAATTGCATTTATGAAAATAAAATACTTGAAAAGGGTTTTATGGAAGCTGATAGACAGTTAAACATATGGGGAACAACTGTGTTTCTTACTGCCCATTTATTTGAGGAAGGAGCCATGTACAATAGGAAGAGATTATCTGATGGATAACCTAGTGGGGCTGGAGTTTTATTTTGGATTTTGGGTTAAATCCTGATTTAAACATATTCATTGATTCTTTGAGTTGCATACTAATGCAAGAAACTAAGGATTAGAGTTGGAATCCAAATTTTAAAGTATCTATCATTTCTTTTTAGGTCCTTCAAGTAGAGCAGAATGGTTCCAAGATGTTAAAAATGCAAATGGGATCCCCAAAAAGAACAAATGAGATACCTAACACCCAAGAGCAAGGACTCTGCTCTTCTAAGAAAACTCGACAAGATCTGACCACTCTCCCAACTAAGATAATCAACATTACCTTGGGGATAAACCCCAAGACATGTATGCACTATTTCATCCAGGAGGACAAAGGGAGCTTATATGAAGCTGTGAGCACCCTTGACCCTGTCAAAAGAGAGATAGAAAGACAGCCAGGCAAAGAAATGCTGGTGTGTGGCATAAAAGGAATAGAAGGGTACATAAACCTTGGTATGCCCCTCCGTTGTTTTCCAGAAGGCTGCCATGTGCTCATTACATTTTCCAAAACTGAACATGAGGAGAAAGAAAATAATGAAGTATGTGGTCGCTTTGACCAATCACCTGCTGAGTGTGTTGTATTTTACATACATGCAGTTGGGAATAGAGAGCAAAGGATTCTGAGGTGCAGGGAACTTCACAACGAGGGGACCAAACTCTGTGTCTATGGCTTCAATGGAGAGACCATCAAGACCACTCTGAGGAAGGATGGCAGGTTTGATTCCTTTGTAGAGAGTGCCCATTGGAAACTCATTACCAATGATACCACCATAGCAAACACCCAGCCAGTTGATGTGTTACAGGGCAAGCTCTTTCAGATTGATGTTGAGAGAAAGGAGAACCCTTGGGTGGCATTGGCAACTCAGAAATCTGAGTTAGAGGACAGAACCTTCAGTGAGTTAAAAGGATACATTGTGAATTTGTACCCCACACTGAAAAGAGAATGTGAGAAAATGAGAGCATTTATCAAGGAAGAAAGTGAAAATAGTAAACAGTCTCTTTTCAAAGCCCATAAGAAAAAGTTCAGGGAACTAACAAAAAACTCTACTCCAGGTGAAACCATCAAACTTCTTTCACAGTTTCTTGATTCCACTGGGCTCATAGTTTGGGACAATAATGGAAACAGGGGTAGTGCCACTTGTTTTGTTTTTGGAGGGCTGTACATTTTCACTTGTCGCCATGTGTTAAATGACATTGTGGGAGAAGGAAAAGAGCCACTTGAGTGTATAGACCTAATTAGCCAATGTGTAAGGGTGACATTTGATGACGAAGATTGCAAAGAGCCAAACTCAAACTGCAACAATTGTTTCTGCATTGAACCCTCATTTGTCATATCTGATGTAACTCTTGACTATGCTGTCCTGAAGCTTAAGGAAAACTGTCAACAAGTGCCTGCCGGACTGTATAATGGAATAGCTACTGCACTTCCCAGTGAGTTAACATTTATGATTGGCTATGAAAATGGACAAAAGGTTATTGATCGTTGTACAGTAATCCCTCAAGGAAAACTAAAAGAGAAAAATCAGCAATGTGTTCGTGGAACAGAAGTAGCAGGTCATAGCCATTCTTTGAAGTACATCCTTATGAATACTAAAAGAAGTTTCCAAAAAATGATTGACAAGCCTAATGACTTTACCTATAATACTTTTTATTGTGGGTCATCTGGCTCTCCAATATTTGATTGTAAAGGCTCTCTGGTGGCCATGCACACTGCTGGCTTCATTTGTGAACATGAAAGCGGAGTTTATGATATCATTGAGTTTGGCACAAGGATGGAATCCATCCTTAATCATATTAAGCAAAAACATAAAGAATGGTATAATGAAGTTTGTGTAAATCAGCAGGATGTAGAAATGTGCAGTGGTGAAGCCTATATAAATGACCAAGATGTAGAAATGTACAGTGAACCCTACATAAATCCGCAGGATGTAGGAATATATAGTGGAGCCTATATAAATCAGCAGGATATAGAAATGTGTAGTGTAGAAATTTAGGGGTAGAGAGAATTTCTCTTTAAGAGAATTGGGTTTTCAAAAGCAATAATACATTTTTCTGACTTTCAAAGCATTCATTTTAATGGGACAAGATGGCTGGGAACACGGCTCACTGGTTGAGCACTTGCCTAGCGTGCATGAAGCTCTGGGATTAGTCCCCAGTGAAAAAGGAATGTTAGCACTCCAGTCAGTTTCCAAAATAGTTGTTTCCACTGGCTTTTTAAAGATGGCACCCCCATGGGAGGCCTCACCGTCTCTGAGGAATGGATGGGGGGTGGGATAATGAGATCATGGGGACAAAGGGAGGATGGCAGAGAGCAGGAACTAGGATTGGTCTGTAAATTAAGATTGTTTTTAATTTAAATAAAAGTTAATTTATAAAATGAAACCTGTCCCCTATGATGAGATGCCTTGTTCAGCCTTGATGCAGAGGGGAGGCACTTGGTCCTAATCAGCTTGATGTGCCATGGTTTGTTTATGCCCCTGAAAAGACGCTACTCCAGCTAAGTGGAGACCAAGAAGGAAGTGGATGGGGAGGTGGGGGGAGGGAGCAGGAAGAGAGGAGGGAGGAGAAACTATGGTTGATATGTAAAATAAATAAATGATGAAAATAAAAACAAAAAACTTTGAAGCCATCTTAAGTCTCACTTAAAGATTCATACACACTTTTATAGAAACTTTGGGATTTGCTTTTCTAAATCCATAGTTTGCTCTCTGTTCATAACTGGCAGACTGATTCATGATTGCTAAGATTTCAAAATCCTTTGACAATCTGAGTTTCTTTCCTTTCATTCCACCGGTGGCATCTCCTGTCAGCAGAAGGAGAATGTTCCAGGGTGTCTGCATTTTGCTGTGGCTCAGCAATCACTAAGCTTCCTCGGGTAACTCTGGAGAATAGTTTGCTCCGTCTCTGTCCCTTCCTACTCATGATTTTTAGTGTCTAAAACACAAATAGCTGAATCTCAGGGCAGCAAGTTCTGATTACTTGTTCAGCCTTGATGCCAGGGGGCAGAGCCTGGTCCTGCCTCAACTTTGTATACCACGCTTTGTTGATTTCCATGGGAGGCCTTACCCCATCTGAGTGGAGATGGAAGAGTTGATGGGGAATGGCAGTAGGGAGGTGGGGTAGGGAACATGAGGAGAGGAGGGAGGGAAAACTGTGGTTGGTACGTAAAATAAATTTCAAAAACGATGAAAAGAATTACATTTGTCCATGGAAGATGTAGAAGGCATGAGATTCACGTACTTACAGATAGCAGTAGAGAAAAGAGAATTTTGTGAAACACATAGGCTTTTTTTCTTCAATGAAAGGGATTAACACCTGTTCACCCTGAAGGTAGGAGTGGATATTGTTTAATAATCTGGTGATATATCTTGTGGCAGCATGATGGGAGAGAACTGGCTCTATGGTCACAAGAGACAGAAAGCCAACCCTATTAGTCCAGGTGTAGGTAAGCCAGTCCTGAAGCTGTAAACATGGGAGAGTTGTCCCCGTTTCCCATCTGACAGAACAGCCCTACAACTACCCAGGCACAGACCCAGGGTTACTACTTGGTCCACCACAACATCCAACCCATCTATGATCTGCTGGAGCACATGAAGGAACCTGACTGGCAGACCAAAAGCTGCAGGATCTCCATATCACAGGGCAACAACAGGATATCCAAGAAAAGTCCTAGTGTGGGCCCAGCATTGGTAGTGTGGTAGAAACCAGAGGCCTCAAACCAGACCAATGACTACTAAAGCGAACATTTCCAAGTAAAGATTATGGTCAAAGGGACCTGTAGCATGAGTCCAGCTTCCTTGACAAGATTTTTAGGTTTTTACCTTTTTTCTCTTAAAAATTTTTGGGAGGAGCCACGGGAACAGAAGTCAGATGCAAAGGGATGGGGAAATGAATTTGATATAAATGACCAGAGATAAAATAGTGTGTGGAAATCACAGTGTAGGTGTGATGAACATGATTTTTGTTTTAGAAAGACCTCTTAGACATGTAAAAATATCTTAATGAGGAACTCCACTATACCCAACATTCTGGGGGAGAGGAAGGCATCTACATTCAATTAGACTATTTCTGTCAACATAAATGTTCTGGCAGGGCCTACAACACTACAAACATCTCTTCAGTTATTCCTGTGGTTTCCTTAAATACCCAGCTATTCTTTAGTACAAAACCTCAAAGAACAATTTAAAATAAGGTTCCAAGCCTGACAATGGTGGTTCATGCCTTTAATCCCCTCACTAGTAGGTAGAGGCAGGTGGAGTTTGAGGACAGCCTGGTTACAGAGGGAGTTCCAGGACAGCTAGGTTTACTCAGAGAAGAAAGAAATCCTTGGCCTCTGGTCTCAAAATTCCTCCTTTGCTGTATCCACTAAGCCTACACTGCTGGCCCATCCTCCCCAAAGTGCTGATCTTTCTCGTCAACCTTGCTCTTCTCCCTCAGCACTACCAAGATTCTGTGAAGTGATGTTTTCATTACATCAATTGCAGTGCAGTTATCTACTTATCTCTGTTTCAGAACAACTTTCTGGGAGGCCACATTTTACTTCTGAATCCATCACCAGCCTTCAGTTACAACCAGTGTGCACCTCTGAAGTTCCTTCAACATTCTCTTCAAGTCTTTGCCCCAGGGAAGAAAAAAAAGCTTCATTCAATTTGTGTGTGTGTGTGTGTGTGTGTGTGTGTTGGAGCTGCTGGAACTAGAGTTACACATGGTTGTTAGCCTCCACGTGAGTTTTGGGAATCAAACCAATTCCTCTGCGCTTTGGGTATGGCATGGGCTCTTTAAAACTTAGTTCTTTTCTCTTCATTGTATTTCCTTTTTACCTGTGTTTATAGTAGCCATCACTAACAGAGGGGGGAAACCCCTGGGATGTTTTTCTAGTTAAGCAATAAGTTTCTGCCTTCGGCAATTTTAAAACGCAATGCAGTTGCTTGGTTACTTATTCAGGTTCTCTACAGTTCAATGACTATCTCTGGGCCTAGCCATCAGTTTCATCTATAAGTCACCACGAGCTGTAATAAGTGCAGATCACAAAAGATCGCATTAAAATGTAAAAAAATCAACTACTATTTTTCTGAGGTATGTCTGCATATTTGTTACTTGCCTCATTTCCATGACAAATGCCTTACCAGAGCAACTTAACAAAGAAAGCTCATGTGACTTACTGTTTGAGGCCACAGGCCATCATGGTAGAGACCACATGCAGAAGTTGAGTGTGTGGCAGCTGGTCACAGTCCCTCATAGTGAAGACCATCTACTATCAGGAATGAGTGTGAGGCAGCTGGTCATAGTCCCTCATGATGGAGACCATGAGTCAGCAGGGGTAAGTGTGAGGCAGCTGCTCACATTGCATCTGCATCCAGGAAATAGCTGGTTGCTGAAACTCAACTAGATTGTTTCTTTTCATTAAGGAGGTAATTGCAGTTGAGTCTGGACCTGTGACACTGCCCCTCCATAGCCACTGATGTTCTAATCAATCACTCAGCATCAGTAGAAGGCCTAGTGGGAGGCCCAGATACTTTCTGTGAACTTCCATTCACATTCATTAGTAACTCAGGATCCTGCAGAATTGACAGTCACATAAATCATTAGTCTGCAAATGCTCATTGAAAAACATCATACATGACTTAGCCTTCTTTTTGACCTAGGCTATACATTCTTCTTGCCAAGAAACCATCTATCATGTACACAAAACTTTTTCTTGTCTATGTTATTCTTTCTTTGATGGAGTTGTAATGAATTTCTCATGACATTTGGAGCAAGAACAAAAAATTTATATGTGATACGTTAAAGTAACCAGTAGATTGAACAAAATCAATATTATTCCACATCATGGGAGCATCATTTTGAATACGGCTTCATCTATTGAACCACAACAATCTATACTTGTATAGAGCTTTACCGTTTGTAAAAATTACGTTGCATATACTTATTCTTAGCATAAACTTGTTAGGCAGGTGAGAAGGATTTTGCCTCCAATTTATTTTTAGAGAAAACCATGTTGCTTGAGAGAAGTGTGAAGACTCTTGAGTTTGCTGACATACAGCGAGAGCTGTTTCTACCTACCAGGCTCTGCTGTCATTTCAAACTACTCTGTCCTAACCTGGATCTGAAATGCTCAATGAGTTGATCAAGGCTGACAAGTGACAGGTGTTGGGGAAGTCTTATGTCAATAAAGCACTGTTGGTCCAATAGGAATCTAGATAGGTGGGACTAGGAGTCCAGGGGGACTCTGGGAAGGAGAAACACAGGAGAGTCGAGATATAACGCCATGGGGTCGGAAGCCCAGAAACTTCTCTGGTAAGAGACATACTTAGATTAACAATTATGGGGTAATTACTTAAGTCAGAGCTAGCGAGTAAGAAACAAGCAAGGCCAACAGCTTCATAATTAATACAGCGTCTTGTGTATTATTTGGGGACTACAACGCGGCAGAGCCCAGGCGACTGGCAGGTGATAAACCAAAGTGGCTAACAAGGGAAAAGCTTCTCTTTACAGACAGGTACTTGACTTGCTATTCAAAACATTTACCTTACTTTTCTCTTCTCCAGGTTCTAGGAATCAAGAAGATCCAAATAGCTAGGATATCCATGGTTAGCCTTGATCTGCTTGTCTGTGTCCCTATTCTACCACAAAGAAACCTAATAACCAAACACACTCCTTCCCTTTGCATTCAGAAGCATCATATGCCATAATCCTAGCCCTCCAGAGGCAGAGTGGGGGAAACTGCATGTTTCCCAAGGCCTATCTGGGCCACATAGTGTTTTGAAGAACAAACACAACAAAAGAACTGAAAGCTTATGTAGTTTTGCCTGTCCCACTTAGCTCCAACCATGAACCTGACATAGTCCAAAGTTATCTAAGGAAGTCTCAACTGGGGAATTGCCCAGATCAGACTGACCTCTGAACTATCTATGAGGAATTGTCTTGGTAGTTGATTGATGTAGGAGGACCCAGCCCACTGAGGGCTATTTCTAGGCAGAATGCCCTAGGGTATGTAAGAAACCTAGCTGACCTGAGGAGGCTTCTTCCATGGTCTCTATTCCAGATTACTGCCTTGAGTTCCTGTCCTGGCTTCCATTCATCATGAACTGTCAGCTATAAGATAAAATAAACCCTTTCCTCCTCCAAATAGCTTTTGGTTATGATATTTATCATAACAGATATCAAATTAGAACACTACCCAAGAATTGTTTACATAGCTGGAATTTGACTACAGTATTCCAGTGGGATGTGACAAGGATATTTGGGACAGCATTTTCTCCAATGAGATGCGTTTTGAGAGTTTCTATGCACAGACAAATTTTAATTATATTATGTTCTTTCTAAAACTAGACATTAGTGAATTTTTTTTCAAAAAGAACTTTAACATATTGAATGCCAATCATTATGTTTGGCAGTGTCATACAATGGCAACAGGGTACTCGTCACCATGCTCCATCATTACTGTTATTATTTCTGGAGAGTGGTATTTCTAACATACCTCTTGGCATCCTTTCTATCATGAATACTATACACAAAAGTGACACCTTCAAACACTGGAATTAGATGCTTTCAATTTTCACTTAGTTTTTGGTATTTTATTAATCATTCTTACTACCCTTGTTCTTTTTATAATTTTATTATTTTATTTTTGAGAATTTTACATACAAGTATTCTATTTACATAATTTTTATGCCTCCCTCTTCATCCTTTAACTCTTGTTTGGTTCCCCAATATTTCATTCCAAATTTGTAATCTCTCCTTCCTGAATTATTATTGTTACATATTCATCTACAGAAACAGGTGGATCCAAACAACCCTAGTCACAGAAACATGTAGAAGTCAGTGTTGATTCCATTGATGTTGGTGTGTGGCCATCTGTTTTTTGTAGGTGTCCTGAGTTGTAGCAGCAGCAGGAACTAAGTCAGATTTTCAGTGTCTGGCATTTGCTTTGATGTTGTAAAGAGGTTCTGTGATGGCAACCATTTCCAAATGCAGCTTCCTGTCTTCTGAATGTGTTCTTGGACCCAGAGATACCATTGTTGCCTCCTAAATCCTGTTCTTAGCATCCTAATGCTTTCCTGTCCTTTTTTTTTAAGAGACCAGAGAAAAGTCATTCTATTAGGTTTGCTGATATTTTCACACTGACCCAAAATAGAATATTGATATTTCCACCCATTGTCTTCATATGTATATTTGTAATTATATACACATGTAAACCTAGTAATATTACCAAACAATATCCTTCTTTCCTACTCCTCATAGCTTCTACTATATTTTTTATCTAGATTTTTTTCATTTAAATTATAAACAATTTTACATATCAATCCCAGTTCCCTTTCCTTCCCATCCATCCATGCCCCCCACCAATGCCCATTGATCCCCCTTCTGTTCCCCAGGAAAGGTAAGGCCTTCAGTGGGGGATCATCAAAGCCTGTCGCATCAGTTGGGGCAGGGCCTAGGCCT